GCATCTTTTCTTGTTCCTGGTTCATTCTTACAAGATAGATCATCATCAGGGGGCCCTTGGTTTTTTTGTACAATAAAACGCTTGGACCTGGGCGGCATGGGGGCGGGTGGCGGCGGTGTCGTTGTCCCAGGTGGGAAAAGCGTGCAAGGCGAGAGCCCGCACAGACGACATTGCCCAGATTGGTGTGCTGCGGGATTGATAGATCAATCCTTGCCTGGTCACTTGTTGGTTCAGAGAGCTACGATTCATGTAGTTTACGCAGTACTATCTGCGGAGTACTGCCGGTGCTTGGCGGCTCGGTGAGACGGAACCAGCGGGTGTAGTTACGGAGTAGTGACATATTCTGGAGCACAGAGCCTTTCTGGGGGTCTCATGTCGGCAGCTATATCTGGCAGAAAAGTAATGCACCACGCGATTTCTTCCCTGTGGCATCATGCTATTTTCAGTCTAGATGATACTATTACTGGTACATAGAGCGGCACTGCTTAAGGGGGGGGGGGGGTCCCTTGGAGGAGAATCTTATGCCATGAATGGTGGCGCCGCCGCTCCAGGTAGAATCGCTTAATAGGCGGAAGGGTTTCCGCACTGCTACCAGTACTCTACCAAGTAGACTGAGCGAGGGGGTGTATGTTCCACTATCTGGTCGTGCTTTTTGCCATCATTCCCTCGCTTGTTGTTTATTACCAATATGTAGGGGCGATTCTCGAGGCCCGACGGGGCAAGGTTGAATTGGCCCCGTTCCTTTTTGACCATACACGGCTTGTCCACTGATTGCCGACTCCGTACTTTGGGGATAATAAGCATCATGAGACTCGGGGGCAATATCAATATCACACTAATAAGCAATACCCACAACTTAAGCAGTCCGCCTCAGGGTCTCTTGTGTAATATCGTCAAGGATAGAAAGGGCTTTTTTTTTTTCCCAAACTCCGCCAAGATGCAGAGAGCCCATTCTCGTTGTGGGTTATTCTCGGGCAACTTGCCAACTTGTAGCACGTGCGTGACTCTCGCATTTAGATTGACAGAGATGCTGCGATTCTGTGTCATCTCACCCGCGTGCCCTGATTTGGGTTTTCTTTTTGTGGTGAATTTTGTTTTCAAGTCTTTTTTTTCCGCTTGACCGAATCTTTCTGAGCAACCTCGGCCCCGATTGCGTGAACGAGGCGAGCGCGCCCCCAAGGCAGACTTGCAAAATACGGTGAAGGAAGAAATGTGACGTCTTATCGCCCGACCTAGTCATGAGACTACAATGACTGGGTGAGATCTGTTTATCCGCAAGCGCTCTGCGGTCGTACTCTCCACTTTGTGCCATCATTGGCAGTGTATCCTCCGTCTGCAAGTCCCCAGCCAGGACTGTTGGCATTGCCTTATTGGTCTCTTTGTCCAATGCGAACCAGAACAAACATAGAACCATGTTGGGACAGTTTTCATCAAGTGATAAACCTCAATCTCTAATGTGATTTGCTCGGCTCCATACCGAAGTAAACGCCATGTGTCGTCGTATTCATCGTGTATGCCAGCGCGACAGGGGTATGCCGAGTCCAACCCTGCCCTTTACTGCATCACATATGAGTGCTTACAAAGATCCTTCGAAAGAAACTCTTTGCGTTCTAGAAGCAATTTCTTGTGTGCTTACTCACTGGTACTCACATACATGTAACTAAACCTGTGGTGGCTCGGGCTGCTATCGGGCCCCGGATTCGACTCGTATACAATATTCCTAGCGACGTCGAGAGAAATCCACAATACTAGTTTGCCACGTATTCTCATCGAAACTGATTAGCGAAATCCATTTCCAGATGAATGTCTGCTGACGGGTCCTGTAGGTTCTAATGTGTGAATAGTGACAGTGCCGCTTGCTGCTTGCTCGTCAATGACTCTGATACGCTGTGTCTCGATGCGAGGAAGCTGTCAAGTTCTGTTCTCATTGTGGAGATGCCATACACCATCAGATCTTAGCAGTGGTTACCACTCAAGTCTGAGCTGAGAAGCTGCGAGTAAAGACTGACATCCATGCCGGGGCAGTCGTTGAAGCTCACAAACTATCACTCTACTACTCCCTGAAACATATCATGTACCTACAGAGGCTGGCACATGAGTGTTTAGCATTACCGATCACCTTAAAAACGACCAGCGTATTTAGCTGCAACATTTGCAAAAAATACCTCGGCGGCCCCCGATCGCGTATGGCCGTGTTTACTGGTACTTCTCTTGCAAGCCATGTATTCCTGGAGAGACTCTAAAAGCAACGGCGATATACACAGGGGTCAAAAGGGATATATTGCGGAGCTAATACAGTATGTGTAGAATGCATTGGTGCCGTAGTATTCCTGCGTCTGCGGAGCAATCCCTGCATCGTATACTCAACCGTTATATTGCCCAATGGGGTTAACAGAAGCATTTCCGATAGCCAAGAGTACGCGACCTGGGACCTCCAAGGCAACTAAATGCATGTCACTATTTTCAGTTGTTCTTGAGCTCACTACCCCGTAGTACATCGGTCGACAAACAGCGAAAAAGTGCACCAAGCTAGGGAGACGGCAGACTGTGATGCCGAGCGAGACTTGCTAAACTTTGCCATGGTCATACTCTTTGCGAGGCTGTCAAGTCCGCTCCACGTGAGAATAAAGTATTGCTCAATTACTATCATTTTTTTTTTGGAAAAAAAAATACCACTTCGCTGCGGATATAAACCAAGTTCACCTGCACGATGAATGCCCAATTTAAACTACATTTCCCCCAAGCCCAAGAGTGCCATATATCAGGCCTCTCCGCGTCACGTCGGAATATGTGTCGCTCGCAGGAAGAGTCGTTGTCATTGCAGGAGGCTCCAATAGTTGTGTGGCAAGGCCCGTGTCAACAGATCAAGTCAAGAATGGGGCCAGTGTTGTCATCAGTTACATACTACAGCGATGAAGCCCGCGCGAATGCGCTCGTCTCTTCTATTGACGCAAAAGCGTGAAACGTGCCGATGCCGGTACTACTTGACGAAATCACGAGGCTTGTCGACGAAACAGTGACAAAGTCTGGCGTCTGGCCACATCAATGTAACGATGGCCAATGCTGCTATGATGATGATGCCCAACGTCGAGCATACAATCGAAAAGGATCTTGACGCAATGTTCAACCTCAATGTCAAGGGGACAGAATTGGCGAATACGGGCTCATCCGTGTAGAAAGGTTGGGTGAGGATTGAAGGCTAGATTACGAGGGCCGCTGACAGTTGAAATCGTTCTTGTTTGATGCATATTGTAAACTAGTTTCTCTTTTGAAATGTTAATTTGTACGGAAAAAAAGGAAAAGGAGAGACAGTGCTCGCAATCGCCGTGGCTGCCCATCGCTTTTCGGCAGCTGGCAAGCTGGCCTCTCATCTAGAAATATGGCATATATTTTCATTACATGGAGACTCTTATTCACAGGTGAAAGAGTTTGCGCTAAAAGTACATTGCTCTCTACCTTCTCAGAGGCCATCAGCTCACGCTGCCTCGGTCGGCGGTTCCGCCTCAGCCCTTGTCGGCCCCTTTTCGTCGATATTCGTGATTAAATCGTAGCTCACACGCAAGTTTTGCGCACTGCTCAGCGCGCTCGCCACCTTGGCCTCGTGCCGCTCGCGCACCAGCCGTCGCAGCGCGCCCACCAAAAATCCCGCCACGACGTCCACGGACCAGCTGTCCGGGACGAGACGCAGCACCTCGTCCAGGTCGAACCAGCCCCCGAAACGCTCCAGCAGGGCGCCAGTCTGCTCCACGCGCTCGCTGGCGTCCTCGATGGCTAGAAACTCGCGCAGCACCACGTTGAACAGTCGATGCTGGTCGTCAACAGATGGACGTGTGCGCGATGTGCCCCCAGGCGCGGAAAAGACGCCGAGTCCGCCGCGCAGGCAGTATGAGACGGCCGAGTCGTAGTCGCCGAGCTTGTGCACAAGGAGGCGCAAGGCTTGCTCATGGTGACTCTCCCTGCCAGCAAGGATGATGGTTTCCGGCACCAGCAGGTCTCCGGGGACACTGCTTATGCGCTGCCGAATACTGGTTGTATTGTAGTCGTTCGCTCCACCCAGGAGCTGCAGCAGACGCAGTCGGCTCTGCCACACCTCATTGTTTGCCGGCGTATTTGCCGTGAGGAAATGGTGGTATGTGGGCTTGGGTGCTTGCAAGGCCCTATATGCTGCATATGCTGCCAGAACCGCGTCTCGACTTGCCTCTGACGAATTCAAGTCGCCAATGACAATGTCTAAATAGTAAGAGATGAGTTCATTAATGTATGCCGTGTGACCTTTGCCAAATGTGAGGTGCTCAAGGAAATGTTTCACCGCCATGGGCGCCTCTTCCCTCAGGAATTCAACAACTTGGGTAGGCTCGAATTTGGCAGCTCTAGACTTATCCTCGGCAAATATTTCCACGCCGAGTTTCGGATTCCGTCTGGCCAGCCAAATACCGTACTCTTTGACCAATGCTTGATTGCTGATTTTCGAGAGATAATCTTTGATACGTAACTCGCCGTCTTGAAACTCCTGTCCATCGTCGCGCTCGCCTTCGACGATCCGTTTCCATGTCGCTAGAACCTCGCTAGCCATTTTCCGGCTTTGGTACAAGCGGCTGAGGATGAAGAGACGGTGGTGAGATTCAAGAATATCAATGGCACGCTCAAAACAATCCACTCCTTTATCGACAAGCTCATGGAGCTCAATCTTAACGGGACTGTGCCTTCCCAGCGCCTTGGGAGCGCGTCGATCCAACTCGAGAAGAACAAGGATAAGCGCGGCCTCAATCGTTCTGAAAACCTCCCGCTCATCGGGAACACTTCCGAATCCCTTCATCTTTCTCCAGGCAGCAAGGAAACGGCGCAGGAAATGCAGCGTTCTCGACTCGAGATTTCCGATACTATTCTTTGTAATGGCCTCGAATTGGTCGCTGCAGAGGATCATCTCTGTCACTTTCTTCACACCGCCATAGATCCAGATGCCGTTCCGTCCCTCAATGATCTCATTTCGGATTTCGGGAATCAACGATAGAACGACTCGTGGATCTAGTTGACTGTCGGTGAATAATTCTTCTAGAGCATTGACTTCTGTATCTGCGAGTTCTTTGTGCGGCGGAGCGAGGAGTAGAGCACCCAGTAGTAGAATACCTGCCTTTTGGCGTAGATATCGAAGAGTCATGAATTCAAGTTCTGTCTTCGCGTCCTGACGTCGAATCCGTGCTATCGTGCTAAAAACGGCATCTTTGTTTAGGTTTTCCGGCAGTAATTGGTTGTCATTTAAAGCCCCAAAAGCCGATTCCAATTGTAGAAGGAGGGGGTTCCGAATCGTCCACCATATTTTGTCGCCAGACCAAGCTACTAGCTTGATTGACACTTTTGCCAGTCTTTGAGTGAACTCTTCGCCTTCAGATACACGAGACGTCTCCCACCCATCAGGTAATGAATCGTCGTCTTGGGAGTCAAAGTTTCGGTCGAACAGCTCCTGTTCCTTGGACAGGCGTTCCATTGACCCCGCAGTGCGAGAGTCAAGGCTCTTCAATGAGGGCGCGGATGTACCTATAGGACTGGGGAACGGTGAAAAGCGCTTTTCACTAAGCTTCTCTACAATTTCTTGGAATTGCGTCTCTTCGCTCCCCAGAAGCGATCGAATTCCATACGGGCCACTCGGCTCCAAGCCAGGAGCAAAAAGCCAGTGCCTCTCAGGTTGGGCCTCATTTCCGGCATCCATCCGCTGAATTTCAATGCCAAGTCTCGGACCGTCTCGACTTTCCATATCCAGGGAAGCAAGAACATATCCGTCGTCTTCATCAGGCTGCCCACTTCGTGATGATGCCAAGTTCGCGCTGGCACCGTCTACAACGACTGATTCCGGGTATTTTTCGAATGAAATGGTCGGCCGAGTTATGTCGCCATCCAGATTGATAAACATGCCAATTCCAACTTCTTCTGTGCTGGTGCCAGTCACTATCAGAAATTCCTCGGGAGTAGGTGAGGCAATATGCGGTTGAAGTACCGCAGGTCGCGACACATCGGACGACGGACGTCCGTGCGAATCCGAGGGCACATCGGGCAAGGCCTTGTCAGTGATAGGGCCAGACTGCGGTGTACCAGGCTTATCTGGAGATGAGGAATTCCGTGATGCATCACCTCCTTGGTCCTGTTGGCGGCCCAGGTTGCCGAGAATTGCCCCTCCAAGACTGGAGCTCCTAGTATGACTTTGAGTGACATGTTGTCGAGAAGGCTGTGAAGTAGACGCGCTTCTGGATAGTCCACTTGCATCTACAGATAGATGTCCTGGCTGAGAGGTAGAGTCGGGCGAAGATGGGGGCTCCAAAGATGATATGCTCATCAAGGGGATCTTCAGCTGCTTGTCGACGTCCAGAAGGGCGTATACTCTCGAATCTGCGACACAGGCGATGGTATCTCGGCGCACAGACAGGCTGCTGTCTGCGAAGTCTATGTTCTAAGATTCATTAATGAGCTGATTGAACCCGTATTGTGGAAGCACGTGCCACATACTCTGAGACGCCTTGGGCTGTCGCCAATGTGAACCACTTGAATCTTTTTTTTCAGCGACATTAATATCGTGACTCCTTCTAATTCACTTGTCGATGACTCCACATTCGTGATCGGCTCGTTCAAGTCAACACCGCCTATCCAGCTGCAGTTCTTCACTTGCGTCGACTCGAAAATCGGCGTAAGCTCGGGTAGCGAATAAAATGTTACCGTCGAGTTGCAGAGAATGCAAGCCTTGCCCGCGCGTGGTAGCAGTAAGATCTGCTGTACTCCGGGTTGCGATCCTCCCTTTGTATCGAAGAAAGCAGGCGCAAGCCTCGATGCCGAAATAAACGTCGGTTTGCCATTTTCGTTGGCAGGGTCGGGTGGGATTCGGACAAAGTGTAACAGCTCGGAGGCCGACGTGCCGACGTAAAGGTTTCCGTCTGTGATGTGGTTTAGCAAAACGAAGACCGCAGTGAAGCTAACAAAATACCGTAATATTCTACGCAGTTTATTTTGACGTCGCCATTGAAGCCATCTTCAGAGAGTGGTACGTCTTCCAACAGTGGTTGCAACAAGTACGGTCCATTCTCAGCGCCGGGTAGGTCTCGCTGGCTGCCGCCCTGCTGCGTCATTGTCGTATACTTGTTGTGCAAGTCATTTGAGAGCTTTGCGTACGTCGCCCCAGGCAAACATACTCCTCGACGAGGAGGTCGGAAGGTGTTTGTCGATGTAGAGTGACGTGATGCTGGGAGCGTTGAAGCTCAAGAAGGCTGAAGTGGGGCGTGCAGACGTCAGCCCCTTGTAGGTAGTGCGATGATCAACGTGTCTAGACTCTGGAGCTCCTACTCCTCCATGGCCGTGCCACGACATCTCGGATTGTGCTTTTCCGCCGCTCATAGCGCGCAACTACTTTTGATCAATCCAGACCCGATTTCCATTGTTCATTGGCGACATAACAAACTCTGTGCCGCTAGTGTCGTGAAACAACCAGCATGGCGGCGATGACGGGCGGAGCTGCAACTGCAGCTACAATGGCAGAGTCTGAGGCAACTGGAGATGCTGGGAATAAGTTCCAGCATGCTATTTCTGCATGGAGAAGTTAGTATCTGCGCGATTGCTAGTGAAATTCACGCAGTCTAACAATGCGACTCAGCGGTCGATCTTACGACTCTCATTTCGAACCTCGATAACACGGCGTCTGAAATTGTCACATATCAACGTGACTCGACTGTTCAGCGTAAAGACCTGGCGCAAAAGACGAAAGATTTTCGAAAGTTGGATGATGCCACAAAACTGACGGAGATGAAGGGACTGCTGAAAGGTAACGACAAGCGCTTCATGTATGCGGCAGAGCGCTAACTTTACTCAGCCTACCAAACATTTATTGATCTATTGACGAATCACTCCAAGGCCGTCAATTCAGCTTTCTTACAAGCATACTCATCGATCTCTGAGGCGCCTGATCCGTATCCGCTGCTAGAAGCCTCGGTCGATGCGATGCTAGTGTCCGAGGACACTGCCCCGAAGCTCCGAGACGAAAACAGTCATCTACAAGAAAATGTTGCGAAACTTACTGCGCAGCTTGAAGAGACCGAGGCAAAGCTACAATCCGAGTGCGCAGCGCGCAAAGACTTGGAGGACACTCTGGACGCAAAAGTAAAGGATGTTGAATCGTCCTGGAACGCTGTGCTGGGTGAGCGCAAAGACAACTGGGAGGCAAAAGAAAAAGGCCTGGAAGAGAAGGTGGAGAGCCAAGAGAGACTCTTGAATGAGCTCAAGGCTACCTACGAAACAAACCAGCGCCTCGGAAAAGCCGGCGATGACCAGGACGGTATGCGTAACCAGGCCTCGAGAGCGGAACTCGAAATGCTGCATTCCGATCTGGAACGCACAAGTGCGCGACTGGCGGATGTCGAGTCTCGAAACGAGCAAATGCGACTAGAACTGGCTGAAGCCAAGTCTAGTGTTTCTGCCCAACCCAAGACTTCTTTGGAGGACGACCCTGACTATCTAAGAATACGCTCCGAAAACTCGTCGCTCATTCGAAAACTTGACAGTACAAGATTGGAGAAGGAAAGCCTGAAGAGAGAGCTGGACACCAAGGTTCGATCCATAGAACGAGAGCTGGCTCTTCTCAAGGACGAGAACGAGTTACTCAAATCGAAAGTGCAGAAATGGAGTGATTATGATGAATTGAAACAGGAACTGGAGGTGCTCAAGAGCATTGAGTTTTCTACAGGTGACGATGATGAGGAGATGCCAGCTGGCGAGGAAAGTGGGGCTGAAGCCGGCAACACCTTGGAGAAGCTGCTTCTAGGTCGAAATAAGAAGCTGAATGACGAGCTCACAGTTCTTCGAGTTTCTCATCAAGATCTACAAAGCAGATTGGAGGATTTGCAAGAAGAAATGTCCAAGACAAATGCGGAGCTTGAGAGATGTCAAAACTTGAATGAGAAGCTTGAAGGAGATTTAGAGCAGATGCACGCCGAAGGTGCAAATGCTTTCCCCTCTGGAGCTTCGGTCGCGGGAACCTATGTGACACGAGCACAGACACGACGCGGTGGCAGAATTTCACCGACATCATCAATCATCAGCGGGTTAGACCCTCGCGGAGGCGGAGGCGGAGGCGGAGAGAGGGAACCCATGGGCGGAGGGTCTGGCATTCTCCCCATGGTGACGGCACAGCGAGATCGATTCAAGCAGAAGAACGCCCAGCTGGAGTTGGAGGTTTCGGAGAGCTACAAAACCGTGCAGCAGCTACGACAAGAGGTGGCAGCGTTGCAAAAGGACAATTTGAACTTGTATGAAAAGACGCGATACATTTCGACTTACAATCGATCAGGCGCAACATCATCTTCGGCGACTGCGTATGGAGGAAATCCAAACCCATCTACGGTGGCTATTGGAGAAACCGGGACTCCAGGTATGGCCATGGATAGATACCGTGCAGCGTACGAGTCCAACATTTCACCATTTGCTGCGTTTCGAGGACGGGAATCGGCGCGGGCGTATCAGCGCATGAGCCTGCCAGAGCGAGCGGTATACTCGATGACGCGAATTGTGCTGGCGTCACGCAGCAGCAGAAACTTATTCGCAGCATATTGCGTCGCACTGCACCTGCTCGTCTTTATGTGCCTGTATTGGCTCGGTGCGTCTGACCTGGAGAAGCACGCGGGCAGCCTGGGCGCGTCGTCTGCGGCCGCGGCCGGGGCTGCCGCCAAGGGAGCAGCCAATGGCGGTGGTAAATGGAAGGAGGATGGTTTTGCGGGAAGCTAGTGATGATGGTGTCGGCGAGTAGCAGCAAACTGCAAGTGTACAAATATATTTTGGTTTCTTTGTCTGTTGTCGGGCTGCGATTGGACAGGGCAAGTATGTCGGGAATTTCAGCCATTGTCCTTGGCAGCGCGTACTCTTGGAGCATGGCCGCGGCGAGATGAACGGCGACTATACATGTGGCCATGTCAAAGAAATATCAGCGTAGATTGTTTACCCGCAATGCACGTTTTTTATTTCCCATGATTTTGGTGCCGGGCAGCCGAAAGCCAGCCATGGGTCTTGTCTCAAAGAGCCGTCTCGCAAGGGCCAATCAAGGATGTTGCAAGGCGGATCTGAGACCAGGGTGCAGATGCCGAGATGAGCCACCACTGGTCAGCGCCATCTGCAACTCCATGCAAGTCCCGAGGTAGTGTTGCGATGGAGAGCCATCTAGCCGCCCAAAGAACCGTCAGTGGCTTGCTGTACGACAGAACGGGTTAGTGCAGGGTTGCCCGTTTTTTTTTTTTTTCCTGCCACGGGCCTGGGTTTTGACTGGGGATGACGGGGACGATGATTGTGTGTGTCTTTTTACATCCTGAGGCAAGACGCAAATGCACGCCCCGTCTAGGCCGTCCCGTCCGGGTATTGGCGTTTTTCTCTCAAATGCCATGCATTGTTCAATTTCCCATCAAGAAAGCAAACACTCCGTGTCAAACAAAAAAAACCTCTGACGTCCCTTGTCAATGTGCAAAAATGCTCATTCAAGTGCCGAGTTCTGTAGGCGCCCCTTACAGCCAGCCAAAGACCCCCTAGATTATCTCGTGCCGGCGATTGGATCAGCCGTCACGCTTCTAGCCGCCGGGTACCCCCGCTTTGCCCGCCACCCGCCGCCCATGGAGCTTCTCAATTTAGCAAAAAACAACTTTCTTTGCGGGGTCTTGGCATCAACCCTGACCAACCCCGACCTTGTACCGCCTGCAGTTCTTGGTGCCGCCCGACTTTTTATTTTCGTTTTTTATTTTTTTTATTTTTTTTTTCAGTTCTCTACCTTCCCCTTCCAGACAAGCCCATTTTCCACGCGAGCAATGCCCACATTGTAACACTGGATAGTCTAGGGCAGTTCGCTACCTATTTTTAGTCATGTGGGTTTGGCCCTTGCCCAGTTCGTCGATACAAAGGAAAACGCCTGAACCAATGGCACGGGTAGACGCAGCCCATTGTCCGTTCCATCCATCCACGCAACGAATGGGGGGACCGGCCGCAATGATGAGTTTGAACACACGGCGGTTGCGGCTCTGCAACATGAGCTGGCATTGGGCTCGTTTTTTGCTCTTTGCAGTTTGTGCATACAGAACTGGGGTATATATCTATGTAGAAATGTCTCTCCTTTTTCTTTTTTTTTTCCACCATTATGATTGCTCTTTTTTCTTTCTAGAAGTTCAACTTGGGATTCATTTCTATCCAAAGCCTCACCTACAGAAGAAGAAGCGTGTTTTGGGCGGCCAAGCCTTTTTCTTCTCTTCTTTGTCGATTTTCTTTTATTTCCTTCATGTCCTAGAGTTTCTCTTATTTTCTTCGTGTCATCTTCAGCTTTTACTCGACATTGACCTTTTGACATTTGAGCCATTCGATTTAGACACTTCATTATTTACGCGAGTTCACGCCGTCACCACATATACCATTTCCCACCCGTCGCAACACACGATTTATAGAGGCAAAATGCGTCTTTCTACTTTTTTCATTTCTTCGCTGGCCGTTGCCACCTCTGCCGCGCCAACATGGCCCAGCCTTCAGCTCAACGATATTGGTGACCCTCTTGGTGCTCTCAGTGCCGTGTCCCAATACTTTAACCTCGTCGCCGACAAGGTCTCAGCCGTCAAGACCATGAGAGGATCCCCCAAATGCGATCTATCAAAAGCCGAGATGCCCACCGGTGAGTTAAATCTTTCCATCTTCTACTGAATTATATATATATAAAAAAGAAGAAAAGAAACACCGTGTGCATGGCCGTCTGACTCGTTGCAGTGCTTGGTCTGCCTCCTCCCGCGCCTGGCTCCAAGCTTCGCCATGTCGCCGTCGGCCGCGGAACACAAAACTATACGTGCGACGGCAGCGCAGACTCCAAGCCCAAGGCCGTCGGCGCCGTCGCCACCCTCTTCAACGTCACCTGCATGGCCGCCATGTACCCGGAAGTAACCAACAAGATTTCCAACATGGCTGTCCACTTCGACCTCGACGCCGCCAACCGCGTCGGCCCAGCGACGCTGCCCGTTTCCGGCCACCATTACTTCACAGCGGCCGGTGTTCCCTTTTTCGACATCGGCGACGAGGGGCAGATTCCATGTGCCAAGAATGCCAGCGCCGATGCGCCGGACACGTCAACCATCGGCCGCACGGGCGAGCGTGCGATTCCTTGGCTCAGACTGCTGGCCACCAAGGACGCCACAAAAGGTCTGGGTGAGGTCTTTCGCGTATCGACGGCCGGCGGTAGCCCACCGGCAACATGCAAAGATCGTACAGGTCCTTTCCAGGTCGAGTACTCTGCTGAGTAGGTCATCTCTAGTAACTGTCTTGCTCGATATCTGCTAACCTCGGTCTCGATAGGTACTGGTTCTGGTCGAAATGAGTGAGAAATGTATTCAGTTTGGGGGGGGATTTATGTTAGCTAGCTTTTTTTTTAATTGAATTACTATTTATTTTCCATGTCAGGTCCTTTTCTTGTCTTGTTGCCCAGAAATCAGTCGTTCCTAAATCTTAAAAAAAAATCTATAAAACATGACGGCTCTAAACTGAATCAGAATGCGACTTGTCTCAACTCTTTAGGTGCTTGCTGGCAAATTCTCACTAGGTATGACCTCATGTGGCTGCGGAGGATGCACTGCTTGACTACGTGCATGGCTGTTGTAAGGTATAATTTTTCATCGCCCAACATTTTTCTCGATCCCACCATAATTGAGTCTAATTCTCCTATCCTTTGATTCTCTGTTTATTTTCACAGTCCTCTCTGCGCGAGTGGTACTAATAGTGACCAAGTACCAACTTGGGCACTACCTAAGTCCTAAGGTACCTACCTAGGTATCAACCAACTTGCCCATGGCCTGTTCTAGATGCACGTGCCCCCGCAATGACAGCTAGCGCCCGCTTCCTAGGTAGAAGGAATCCTAGCAACGCCATCTAGTCATCCTCTTCGTTTGTATTTTCTATTTGGTTTCCTGTTTTTGATTTTGTCTGTTTCTGGGACTCTTGTTCGTCTCCTTCTTCCGCCTGTCAATGACCGGTGTTCTGGAGCAGTCGTCCGTCGACTGCTACACACCACCGATCGTCCGGCCGTCCCTCATCGCTGTTGTGTAACGCCTAACATCCCTTTCCTTTTGAATCCATCTATATCTTTTCTCAGAAAGTATCCACTGCTTTTCGCATGGCCTGTATTACCCTGACTTCGTCAAACAACTATCAGCTTTCACCAGCCCTTGGCCCTTTGAGCGGCCCTCTACAAACAGCCCTGCAGCAGGCAGAGCCCAACCTCCGCGTGTGCACCAATTTGGTCATCAGCGGCTGACTCGTCATCAAGCGCTTTCCCATTTCATAACCGGGTTATCGGTAGCCTAGCTTCATCGTTATGGATACTTCTCAGCAAATCTCCTTTCCCGCTGCAATCGCCGAGTGGTTGTCAAACAGTTTTCCGGCCTCTGCTCTGAATTTTCCCCAGGTTGCTGCTTCCGATCTACCACAGAATGCTGCTTCTCATATACCCCAGGATGCTGCTTTCAAATCTTCACAGGATGCCGCTTCTGATAGAGCACAGTATGCTGCTTCTAATCTTTCACAGAATGCTGTTTCTGATCTACCACCAGGCGATGATGTCGAGGGAGCCGAGGTCCACAGTCCCAACTCGCAATCTTCGACCGCAACGACCTTCTACGACGTCTACTCAGATGGCCCTAATTTACCCAACCTACCAGTTGAGATCTTCGGCATGATCATTTCGCAAATTTCCAGACAGGATGTCAGGAATCTACGAGTCGTCTGTAAACTCTGCGAAGCCAACGCATCACCATACTATTTCAAAAATGTCGTCGTTCCCTTCCGCACCCAGATGCTTCGCTCAATATCTCCAGACAGAGGTGGCAAGCTTCAAAACTTGTCAAACAGCATGCTTTCCAACGGTGGGCGAATCTTTGGCGAATTTGGTCACATTATCCGTCGATTTGCCCTTTCTCTCGAGCTCGACGAAGACACCCTCGAGTATCCTCCACAAAAACCTAAGCAGCAAGTAATACGCTCCTACTGGGGATTGTATCGATGGCCGCATGCTACATACAGTCGATATCAAGAGGTCAGTGGCATTGAAAACGTCGCCGACGAGTTTCTACACATGAAAGCAGCCTTGCGATGCCTTAGCCATGTCACAGAGCTCGGCCTTTGCTCCGACGCAGGTCTAGGTTTCTTATCCGGCCCCAACATCAGGGCAAGATATAATGCCATTCGTCATCGTGTCTTTCACGACCCGTACGGCGAGAGGAACAAGATCAGCCTCGGAAGTACACCGCCATCTGTGGTGACCGTCGGAGATGCACTTCCAGCTTCTGGTGACAGGTCTCAAGAAGCCGGCAGTGTGCTTCAGAATTGGAAGATGAGTATGATGGAAGCAATGCTTCGAGATGCTGGGTTTGAAGAAGGAGAGCTGCTGGACGCATTGGCCCTTCTTTTGAAAACAGAAGGCAAGACGTCACTGGCCGATATGGACTTTGCTGCAAGCCACACGCCCTCCATACCGAAAGAGAGGATCGAAGTTGAAAATTGGGACTTGCTTCCTGCGTTTTATCCAATACGTTCTTCGTTATCCTGGTCCCTTGATAAACAACCGCCCAAAAGGACAGATTATGCGTTGGTGCCGGCGGCATTGACGCTTGCGCAAAAGGAAATGCTTCTCGAACTCGAGTGGGCTCACCGTGCCATGGCTCAGTCGTTTATACTGTCCGCAATCGATTGCTCTATCGAGGGTTCCTTTCAACATGTCACGACACTCAACATTGCCAAAATACCTAGCTCTCATCTGCATATTCTGAGCCGACATGATCTCTGGTCGTCTTTCCCATCCCTGACCAGTGTTTCTTTGGGTGTGGTAGCGGACTGGCGTCGTTTTCATGTGTCCGCACCTGAAATGGTTGACGAGGTGTCTGTGTCGCCGCTCGATGCTGTCCCACTGGCTCACGCGTTAATCAAAGACTACATCAGTGTCGAGCCCAAGATTGAGAGTTTCCACTTTGAATGGATATGTGGTGGGGAACTAGCTACTGGATGTCACCAACGAAGCCAGCATATTCTACCTGCGCCGTTTGTCGCATCACCAGCGACCATGGCGCGACCAGCCATGGGCAATGTCGGCACCGATAGCGCGCTGCTGCGGCTCCCATACGTGAAGCATCTGTCGCTCAAGAATTGCTGGGTGGCACCGCATGTGCTGCTTCAATCTCTGCGCGATTATGCTCTCTGCTCCCTGGAGAGGGTTGAATTCGAAGGCGTCTCGCTGTCTGTGATGCCATGGATCACCGCAGACCCACCGCCTCATGATTTGGTCGATCTGGGAACTGGCCTTACAGCAGCCAATGTGATTCTGCTGAACGTGCCGGAATTGCAGGATGAGCTCCTTTCCCTGAAGCAGCCTTCTTGGATGTCGTGGGCGGGGCTCATTGAGCACTTTTCGCCATCTGCCAAGGTCCGGGATGCGATTGACTGCGGTGAGGACGCCACTGTCAGGGCAAGCAGTGCTCAACAGAGAGAGGATACGCTCGAAGTTTTGACACGCATCATTCCTGATGCGAGAGAGCTGTCAATGGAAGAGACTCTATACGCACTCGAGTCACTCACATTCAAGTCTTGTGGCTATGTCAATCTTGACCATGAGCGCTTTCACCTAGCCTCCATGATTACGGCATCTGAATTGTCGCTACTTTCTGCCACTCTTCCTACTGTTTCAGAGTTCACACCCTTCATGCAGCGCTGTAATAAGAAGCTCGTTGGACGAATTGTGAATGTCGAGATGCAAAATGACAAACTTCCATTTGAGAGAGTCTTCAACTTCACGATGGGCTGGCAGGGTGTTTACGACAGCACCATAATCGATGCTGCTGAAGCTGACAACTGTCAAAGACTTGGTGTGGGACGGTTTTCTGGTCATCTAGCCAAAGATGACAGTGTTTAGCCCGAAATATCCGCAGAGGTCGGTGCCTGCCTGCCCGAGGACAATGTGCCTGACTGGATATGAGGATCTATTGGGAAGTTTTCAGTGCATGTATGATGATTGAATGGATGATGATGATGAGCCGCTAAGAAGTGATGCCCTCACAGGAGGTGATGCCCTCACAGGAGATGATGAGTAAAACAAACCCGAGGACAATTTGTTGCCGGGTCCAATTTACTGTAATTACGTGTACCTTATGAACTTTTGAGAAGCGAATAGCGTTTCATGCGTTTCGATACTTGAAAACAATGACAAAATTCTTACCTACCTATTCATGGAGCACTTTTTTTCAGACCATGCAACACAATTGTATAAACTTGTGGTATCTTTTTATATCGTCAAGAAGATTACACTGTCCCTTGCGAACTAAAACCGTTGATAATGAGTCGTTGCATGCGTTTTCCCTTTCGAATTGTGCCATGCTCCGACACCCTACAACAAGAAAAGCCCAGCCGACAAGTTTTTGCCATTAAAAAACACGCCTACACCAAATGACAAGGAAATCGGGGACCGAGCTTCCACCATTGGGAGAAGTGACTAGGTACTCCCTCTCCCCCGAGTGTACTCCTCCCCATCCGCTTCCTTCTTTTTGTTGCACTTTTTCCCGATGCTGCTCATGAAAAAAAAAGAGAAGTCGTTACGCCCCTTTCGGTAAGAATCGCGGAGAGAGAGAGAAAAGCAAATCAAGGCAAAAAAGGAAAAAAAGTATCATACATACACTTCTTCTTGCTTGCGGCGAATTATCCATTTCACGTGTGAAAATGAAAGGTCTGTTGAACAGGCAAGGAAAATGTGTTATTGATCTCATTCGCTTTGAATATTTCATTTTAAAGCTTTTTTGCTTTCAGTTTTCTCTTTTTTTGCTTTCCTCTCCTTCGTCACCACCCACACAGCGCGCGCGCGCGCGCCCTTTACGCGGCGGTGAGGGCCTTGCGGAGACGGGCACCACGCTGTCTGGTGTTCAGGTGCTCGCGGCCAACAACCTGGTCGGACTTCTGGACAACCTCCTCGGCCTCGGTGAGGATGAGCTCGATGTGGCAAGGGTTCGACATGTAGGGGTTAATCTAGATGAACCGCAATGTTAGCGAGCTGGCTCGGGGCGAACGTGGGTGATTCTCCTTGTCGAGAAACACGAGAGATAATACGTACACGACCGTGAGCACGGTACGTGCGTCTGCGCTGCTTGGGGGCCTGGTTGACCTGGATGTGCTTGACAACGAGGGCACCGGTGTCGAGGCCCTTGGCGTCGGCGTTGGCCTCGGCGTTTTTGAGGAGGGTGAGGAGGTGCTCAGCCGACTTTACGGGCCAGCGAGCGCGGGTGACACCAAACTGCTTGCCTGTTTGTCGTTTTCATTAGTCAAGTCGTTCTCTATAACGAGTATATCATCTGCCGCGATCTGGCGAGTCATAGCAAGACAATTGCCCGAGGAAAGTAGCAGCAGTCTCCAGACGCTGTGCAGTTCCCTCGGACGTCTAGGCCTAACCAGATCACAAGGTAGGCGATACAGAATGCCAATCGGTCGTCGTACCTTGGGCAGTGCGGCCGGTACCGCCGGCGTAGCGGCGCATGGGGACAGCCTCGTCGTGGCTCTTGACGTTCTCGAGGAACTGGAGAGCACGCTCGAGCTTCCAGCCGTTGATGGCCTGGGCGGTCTCGCGGGTGTTCTTAAAAGAGACACGGAGGTAGGCACCGCGGGCGCGGGCCGACTTGGCGGGCAGAATCTCGGTCGCAGCGTAACGGACCTATAACAACACAAACGCCCAATCAGTCAGCTCCCGTAACGACAGATTATCCAACATATTCTCCTTCGGTTCCTGGTCTCGCAGCGAAGGGGGTGATTGTTGAACATTGCAACGTCAAATGATCCGTTTCGAAATCGATCCTTCCGTGTCAAAACGATGCGGGCAACGACGTGGGCGACCAAAACAGTAATCGACGGGCTCGGGATCGAATGTGTTTGTATTTCGAACGGACAATTCGGCTTGGGGTAATGTTTCTCGCGAAAGACTCAGGAACGAAGGGCGCGTAGCACTCACCATCTTGACGACTTTGGGGTTGGTGATGACTTGGTTCGACTACCGTGGGTTCGCTGCGCGCAAAGTTGGCAATTTCTGAACTTTTGCCCTAAGGGCGCTGGGGCGGGCTAGAAAGCTCGCTTACTGCTTTTGGAAGCCTTAGGGTTTTCCTGCCCTTTGCCGAAAACACGCCTTGCGTGCAGCGCAACCGATGCACGTGTGTCAAAAACCAACAAAGAATACAGCTCGCGAGGAGAAACAGAGCTCAGAAAATGTATTGCCGATTTTTTACTTATTCTTGATTTTCATACCTTTTGTAGTATTTCTTCTGTATTTATTCTTCAGTCTCAAATGTGTTCTGTGAGTCGCTGGTCACATGATCGAGTGTGCACAGGAGCTCCACATGATGCTGCCAAACTTGTCACTGGCACTGTAGCATGCGGGTGACAAAATAAATGGCCCATAATGAGGGTACCGAAGTTTAGCAGCTACCTAGATTTAATCAACTCTCCATAAACTTTAGGAAATATATATTCATTTTATATAATAGTAAGATTAGACTTTAGTGATGAAATTATATCCTGTGTATTTGAAAAAGTTTTTAGATTTTTCTACTTATTTTCTATTCTATATAGCTTTCGCTGAGTATGATGTAGACGCCTTGGCGAATGGGCCAGCTTTTTTGTCACCCACTTGTGTAGTTACAGTCCTTGCTTGACTACCAAACTGCTAATAACTGCTCGCTGAGAGTTGCGTTTGCGTAAAAAATGCATGTCGATCGACTGCTCGCGCCTCAACCCCACATGACAATACTTCCCCAATATCTCACCGTAGAATAAAATAACAAAGCCCATATGGAGATGCAAAACCGACGTGTCATTATGCACCCATTCCCTGCCCTACAACTTCACACCACTGACAGGCAAAGCTTTGGTGGTAAGCCGTGGAACGCTGTGATGCTCGAGAATGTGCTGAGAGGGCAGTCAAGACTGATGGAAGCACTGGCCTTTTCTCGAGTGCTTTTCGAATGCACCAAAAACATCGCTTGAACCCGAGATGCTTGAATTACAGTCACTTATGCAACGCTGCACACCCTTGACCCACCGGCGCATATGGTCAAAAGGCCTAGTAGGATATGCTGCGCTCTGTAACGCGAGGCTCTAGATCAGAAGACGAAAAGGAGACAGAGGAGCAACCCGAGCACGAAACTGACAAGACCAACAGAGCAATGAAGAGAATGAAAGGCTTTTGATTACACAGTGCCAAAACAAGCTTGTCAAGGTTGATTGAGTAATATTACCTAGTACATTGCTGTCGGATGCCACGATAGACGAAAAAAAGCACTTTTTGCTGTCGATGAGGTTGGTGAAAGAGCCTCCCACAGCATAGAAAGTTGTGAACGTTGAGTTCATGGACACTGCCAATAATCATGGCCCAACTTCTACTAACACACATAAAACTTTTTTTTTTTTGCCTCGTTAATAGAGGACTCGAGTCATTATACAAGCTGTCGTAGTCAGTGCCAGTTCTGTGAATCAATTGCAAACTCGCGCCAGTACTTACAGCTGAGAGCTTCAAGGCTTTCCGTAATATCCTTGATTTGCTCGTACTGAACGCTGCTGATATCCGCCATCAGATAAGCAACCTGCGTGAGAGATCATTAGTATTCGTTCTCGGAAAATGATAGAGGTGCTACTACTCACATCCCCGCGACTATCGCTGATCTGCTTATCCACATTATGATCCCCGAGAATTTCGTTGACTGACAGAGGAGATTTGGTTAGATTGATATATCTCCCGAGAGCGGGCGTGCATATGCGGGACTTACCCTTTCGAAGGACACCCGGGACGTTGCGATGGATGTAGATAACCTAAGTTTCGATAAGCAACTGTAAATAAAACTATGCGGGCCCGCATTATGCTTACTCTGGCGTGGTTCGGCTCATCAAGAGTCAGCGACCGCAGCTGAGCCTCGGGCATATTCACGCTGCCCAGTGTGATGCCTTGGTTGATGTAACGAACGAGTGCGTCAGCCACTGCAGATTCGTCAGTCAGATCAAATTCACAAAAGATATCGAGTACCCGTACCTTCAACACCAATGGCTCTCTGAGCCTCCTCGGTACTGCCACCAATGTGTGGTGTCAGGATTATGTTGTTCAAAGTCCGAAGATCTTCTGCCCATTGACTAAGATTACTGGTGAAGTAGTCTCCGTTGCCGCCAGGCTCCTCAGGGTAGACATCAAGGGCTGCGCCGGCAACCCTTCCTGATCGCATGGCCCTGACCAATGCTGGAATATCAACGACGCTACCACGGCTGGCATTGATCAGGTAAGAACCATCCTTCATACATTCGAGCTGGCTGTCGGATATCATGCCTCGTGTTTCTGGAAGATCGGGCACATGAAGCGTCACAAAATCTGCCTCTTCGAGCAGAATTTCCAGCGTTGGAACTTGACGGGCAGTACCGAGTGCCATAAGAGTAACAACATCATAATAGATCACGCTCATGCCCATTGCTTCTGCCAGGACAGAAAGCTGTGATCCAATATGACCGTAACCAACAATACCTGCGATTTGTCAGAAATGAGGCACCGAAGTAATCAGAATGCATGGATGCATACCCAGAGTTTTGCCACGAATCTCCCAACACTTGGAGCTGACTTTGTTCCATGTTCCACGGTGCATCTCGTTGGAGCGATCGCCTAGTTGCCGCGCAAGAGAAATGATTTCTCCTATTACGAGTTCTGCAACACTGCGAGAGTTTGCAAAGGGAGAATTGAAGACCGCAATACCATTGCGCGCGGCGAAATCGAGGTCAACTTGATTCGTGCCAATGCAAAAGCAGCCAATGACTAGCAAGTTCTTCGCTTCGCGGAGTACGCGTTCGGAAAGCTTCGTCTTCGACCGAATACCGATGACCTGAACATCGCTAATCTAGCGATTAGCAACCTTGCTTTACAGCGTGAGAGTACGTAGTTAAGTATAGAGGCCGTACCGGATCTTCTCGATTAGCTGGTCCTCGGGCAAAGAGGACTTGTAAGTCTCGACTTGATATCCTTGGCCCTTGAGGATGTCGCATCCAGCTACATTGACATTCTCAAGAAGCAGGATCTTGACATCCTGAGTATTGAATGGCTTGAGCTGTTTCGGAGCAGGGCGTTGTGGCAAAGATCTAGCCCAGCTTGGTGGGGGTGACTGGAAGGTCGCGCCGGGAGAGGTAGAGAGGTTCTGATCCCAGCTGTGCGACACAGATTTCCTCTGCGTCTTGGCGGAGGAGATGTCTACCGGAGGTGTCATTATGGCGGCTTTACTATGCAATGAGGGGTTTTTTTAAATACAAATCTTCCAGGGCTGCGTCTATATATGGTGGAAGAAAGATGCATGTGGGGTGGCGTCGAGTCACTCTTTGAGTCGACAACTCCGATATCAGGCCAGGACCAGCCAACGGATCCGTACAAGAGCGAATTTGTGATCGGAAAATAGTCTCTCCAGCGGCCGTGAGTTTCTATGTAAGGCTAGCCGAGATTGGTAATCAGTGGGGCCTCCGAGCTCTCTGGCTATCCACAGCTTCAAAAATTTCTTTCCCAGTCCCAAGCGTCTGAAAAAAAAAAAAGCTAACCATCGTGCCTACGGCAAACTCAACGAGGACAAGCCTACACTTGGTCTACGCCTACCAGCAACACATTTCAGCTTGTTTCCTGTTGACTGGTCTTTCCAAAGCAGCTCTACGTGACATTCTGCTTTTTCAATTCCTCATCAAACCCTCAGCATCTCTCAACTTCACAAAATCCTTCGCAATGGCTCCTTTCGTTAGTCGTGGTGGTCCTCGCGGCGGTGGCCGTGGTGGTGGTCGTGGAGGCTTTGACGGTGGCCGTGGAGGTCGTGGAGGCTTCGGCGGTCGTGGTGGTGGTCGTGGAGGCTTCGACGGTGGCCGTGGTGGTTTCGGTGGACGAGGTATGCTGTGATGGCCTCTTGTGATGCCACAAGGTGCATGAACTGACTGGTCGCAAATAGGTGGTGCTCGTGGTGGTGGTCGCGGCGGCCCTGCTCGCGGCGGTGCCCGTGGAGGTCGTGGCGGTCGTGGTGGTGCTCGCGGCGGTGCTGGCGGTCAGAAGGGCGGTTCCAAGGTCATCATTGTAAGTTTTTCTTCGCCGCCTCGAGATGTCGCGAGTAAAGCTATCGCGAGATACCGGTCCAGGCATGACCGACCAAGTTTGCTAACACTCGTTGCCTTTAGGAACCCCACCGTCACGCTGGTGTCTTTGTCGTCCGCGGCGGCAAGGAAGACGGTATTGCTACCCGCAACCTTACCCCCGGCGATTCTGTCTACGGCGAGAAGCGCATCTCGGTCGACGAGTCTGTTCAGAATGATGACGGTACCACCACAACCACAAAGGTTGAGTACCGCATGTGGAACCCCTTCCGCAGCAAGCTGTGCGCTGCTATTGCTGGTGGCGCCGACGACATCTACATGAAGCCCGGCTCCCGCGTCCTCTACATTGGTGGTGCCTCTGGTACCTCCGTCTCCCACGTTGCCGATCTCGTCGGCCCTACTGGCTACGTCTACGCCGTCGAGTTCTCTTCCCGCTCCGGTCGTGATCTCATCGCCATGGCCTCGAAGCGCCCTAATGTCGTCCCCATCGTCGAAGATGCCCGCCAACCCGCCCGCTACCGCATGATCGTCCCCATGGTCGACGTCATTTTTGCCGACGTTGCCCAGCCTGACCAGGCCCGTATCGTTGCCATGAACGCCAACTGGTTCCTCAAGGTCGGCGGCGGTGTCCTCATTTCCATCAAGGCCAACTGTATCGATTCTACTGCCCCCGCTGCTGAGGTTTTCGCCAGCGAGGTGCAGAAGATGCGCGCAGAGGCTATCAAGCCCAAATTCCAGCTCACTCTCGGTATGCCGATCTTGCCCGCATTATTTACTGACCGCACATCGCTAACATTGCATCAGAGCCTTTTGAGCGTGACCACTGTCTGGTTGCAGGTGAATATACCCGTGTCAAGAACTAAAAGATGTGTCGAGAGAAAAACGATGAGCAACACGAATAGCAAGCATGGGTGTGGGTACGCCGACTTCTGCATTGTCGGTTACTACTCACCGTCCGTTTGGAAGGCATCCTTACTTGCTTGGATCTTGTTTTGGCAGTGACTGTTTCGTTTTGGGCTTTTTTCTTTAATGGCTCCTTTCTTTCACAAGGCGCGCGGCGTTCGGGCATATGGGGGACTGTATCATGTACATGGCTTTGATGTAGTACCGGTATTCAAGCCACAATCTAGAAAGCGTATTACAACATCGAAGCTGTGATAACAAAGGCGAAGGTGGTCGTGACTGGCGAAGCAGCTATAACTACTCGGGTAGACTAGGACGTTCACGCTTAACCTCGGCGGTGCCGTTATAGGAGTGACATGGCTGCTGAGCGCAGACAAGGAAGCCAGGAAGTTGTCTCGTTTGGCCTCCTGCACCCTTCTGTCCGGCCCAAATATCGCACTGGTGGCCTATCGGAGGTTCCCGTGCAGTGGCAGGCTACTTACCCTACACTGCAATTTTTGTAGATGCAGATGCTTACTCTTGAGGAGTCGTGTGTTTTTCACCGATTGACCCGGGCAGACAGTCATTTATATGTCAACTTTACGATCTTTAATCATCGCGGGAGGGGTTGCTACAAATGGGCCTTTCTCTCTTACACCTGTTGCAGGATCTATTGTCATTCTTCGAGCATCTCATAAGTGCCAAAGAACATACCGCAGAGAGTAGAATGATTGCTCTGCACAAATTATGACATCACGGAGCTTGAATGCATACTGATCTCGCCATCGCTTCATTTCTTGGCCCGACTATGGCATGGTGTAATATCGTACCCTTTGCCGCGAATGTGATACACATACATGCATACGAATATGGCAGCAATGAAGCCGTCATACACTGCCATCGAGATTAGATCTCATGAAGGTGGTACTCAGCTCCTATTCCCCTTGAATTGTCAATGCCAGAGCTATACATTTGTTAAGGCGCGAGCAACACTGGCGGTATGACGACCATCAGTCTAGGGGAATCTCACGGCTTTTGCTCTGCGCGTGTTTGACAAGGCCGATAAAACCACTGATAATCTCCTTCAACCATTGAGTCTACAGCTGAGTGACACATGCGGCACAAAGTTATGGCTAGGGCACTGTGGTACTCTGCCTGGCACAGGGAATTCTGGGTTTTATTGCGACAAATTCCTCAAATTCCAAATGCAAGGACAAGCCGTCTTCGGAGACCCCATCGATAAGACGGGCTTCAAAATGCCGAGCCAGGACCGAAAACCCCGTGAGCCATTACATTGAGCTACGGAGCTTCAACTGAACCGCCATGTCTGGAAAGTCGAGGGTGGCATATGGGGAGTATGTCATTCTTTGTTCGAGAAGCCGTCCGGGAAGTGGGCATCTCCTAGAATCGCGGGGTCTGGTGTTGGTCATCACATGGTCTGGATTTCCCGCTTTTGTCTTGTTTTCGCCTTTATTGAAACAGAAACTGCCCTATAAATACATTGGCGTGAACCTGCAACAACTTCCCATGTCGTTTAGTGATCCCACGGGTGCTTCCAGCCCATCAAAACCGGTCCTGTAGGAAAGAAAAATGTTAGCTTTTTCTGCGACAAGGAGCCATTTTCAAAAGGCTATATTTTTCAGTGTTGGGGTATCGGCAAGGCGAATCGTACCATCTTTCTTTGCTCGGTACATCAACTAGAAGCGGTGCGGGTTTTGCATCAGTAAGGGGGGCTTCTTCGAATTGGAAAGTCGGTTATAGTATAGGTTCTTACCCAGAACCACATGCCCGCTCCAAGAGCAGTGGCGGTCAAGCGGTAGATGGGAGCCACATGGGGCACAGGCGGTTTAGGGGGGCCCATGGCGATACAATGAACCATCCAGTCGTGGGATTTCTTTTTTGCGCGATGCGTTCACGTCGGTCCCTGTGCAATCATATGGGTTAGCAAAGGCTTGAATTGGGAGCGTAGCCGGAACTGCCGTGACATCACACACCGTCGTAAGCTGATTGGAAGTGGTACCGGGCGATTGAGCCTGGCCTTTTGCTGCTGTCGTAGGTGACTATGAAGCTGTCACGGCGCATACCGGACGCCCATTGAATTTGGCAATCGCTCGGGATGACTAAGCGAATCTGTCAACGCTTTGGTTTGTTTAAAAAAGTGGCTACCGTTGGTGCCCACAAGTCTCGGGACTGCGGAGGCGTGATGCATGTTGATGAAGTGCTGCAACATTTTACAGATAGCGACGCGCCTGCAGGCCAAAAAAAAAAAGAAAAAAAAATTCACATCTGCGCGCAAGTTAGCCTAGCCTCGAGATGTCAACAGGGATTTTTACATAGGCAGACAAGTAGGTAGATGAATAAGGTGTCCAAGTAGGTATTAGCGATTGGTGGGCCCAAGGCTCTACACTAGTTAGCTACCTTACCTAAAACCTATTCCTATTCGTACCTAGGAGAAGCCGGGGCTGCAATCTGTCGCCAAGTCAAAGTGAGAGAGGGTGACTCCAGACACGGTGGCACGCTCACATGCCTGGCAACGCCACTACTGCCCTCCACCTCTCATCTCTCTCCCTCCCCGATACGGAACTATTCTGCTCTGTAATGAACCATACGATACCACGGCAGGCACGTCGCAATATATCCCACCTGGCCCGTCTTTATTCAGGCACGCATTTGACGCTGATTCTCTTTCGTCGCATATCCTGCATTGTCGCTGCTTGAGTTCTGAGGGGGGGGATGAGACAATGTCCAGCACCAAGGCTACGGCTATGAGCACTCGCTCTCCTACAATTAAACGAATCTGTATGTTTACCCAACGTCCCCGTTTTGAGTCTTTTGAGAGTCTTTTTCTGTCTCTTTTCCCTTTCATACTTTTGTTGTGCTCCGTCGTTATCTTTGTGTTCCACGAACTGTTATTGCCCTCAATCCTCTTTTTTTTGACCCGGTTGTTAATGCGGCTCGCCATACATAGTACGTGAGGCAGCTGAGATATCCAGCTCGCCGTCCCGCGATTACGCGGCGCACCCATTGGAAACAGATCTCTTTGAGTGGCACTTTACTCTGCGCGGACCGCCCAATTCCGCCTACAGCGAGGGCGTCTATCACGGCCGTATTGTGCTGCCCCCAACGTATCCGCTGCGCCCTCCCATGTTTCGCTTCACCACGCCGAATGGGCGCTTTGAAGCCAACCGCGAAATCTGTCTCAGCATCAGTGGCCACCACGAAGAGACTTGGCAGCCCGCATGGGGTGTCCGCACAGCACTAGTAGCGTCAGTACATGAACCTTGTCCTCCCACATTGTCCGCTACAAGTACAAGTGTTAACTGGTTTTTCTTTCACAATCAAAAGTTTACGGAGTTTCATGGAGACTGAAGCGCGGGGCCAACTGGGAGGGTTAGAGACCACTGATGACGTGCGTCGGCGGCTTGCAAAGGACTCTGGAGCGTGGATCTGCAGCACTTGCGCAAAGTCGAATGCAGAAATCATCAAGGACTGTGAAGAACGCTGTCAGGATCCCGATAGCACCGTCTCGGACGTCGCTGTTCCGCAGGAGCTCAAGATGGTTTGGAAAGATGAGCTAAAGACTGATGATTCAAGGCAAGAGGATCAACCCGCTGCGGAAAGTACATCTGAAGACTCGGAACTCGCCGAGGGCTTTGTGCAAACGGCTCCGCAGGTTTCTACAGTCGTGAACGGACATACTACCGCCGCACCGCCACGGTCTCCCCAAATAGCAAACCTCGAGCCTCCGCACAATGTAGCGCCTACTCAAGAGCAAAGGGTACATGCTACACCAACCCAAACTCAGACTACGGACGAGGCAATACCGCTTTGGATAGATAGGGCTATTGTGGTTCTTGTCGTTTTACTTGTTGCATTGCTCATCAAAGTGCTATTTGGATTATAGTGTAGACCTTTACCTTGAGTCAGGCGTCACGGAGTTTCGAGTTGGCGGACAAGTTTTAGCACTTTCTTCTTTTTATTGATTCACCATTTACTTTGTCACGATGCACCACGCGCCTAACTCCACCGATGCACCACAACCAACCACCACCATTCCTCAAGCGTAATGCCGGAATGCTGCGTCGCTCTGGTGAAAAGTCCCGTCTTGAGGCCCCAAGAAATAATGAGTTCCGCCTCGAACACCTCGAGTATCGGTGCGACAGCATCGCATATGCCCGTGACAGACGTGATGCCTCTTGTATTAAACGCAAAACAGACGGCACCCAAGATATCTGCCCATCTCTGCTCATCAAGCTTGCCGAAAAAGTCAATCCACTGTGGTATCTCCCTTGTGCGGCCTTCTCGCGGCGGACCAACACCTTGGACAGCTTCAAGTATACCAACGTCACCGTTGAACAGATAGGATGGGGTTGGCTGAACTTCCAGATCCATGTGGTAGTACGATTTCGGATACTTGCGACTTTCGTAATTGCCCGGTTCAAAACCAAAGGGTATGTTTGGGACGTTTGTTACTCTGACTCGTATTCGTTCATGGGCGATTAAATTCGTCAGTGCCATCATCGCACCGTCAGACAGCGTATAGGGCACTTTCATAGCACTGCTGCTTCGGAAAGCCTGGTCGAGACCCTTTTTGAAAGACACTGCATCGAGGTACTTTTGTCTGTGTGCGACCTTTGCCAGAACAGAAGTGTACGCTTCATTGAGCCTGTACGGCCGTCCGCCGAACGGCGCTCGTTTGCTTTTGCAAATGACTCTCTCTTTGGTGAGCTGGTCAATGGCTGTCTTGAGAACCAGCGTGTTTCGCTGCGGCGTATCTTTCGAAAGCATTGAGAATCTCTGTTTGACATCTTGCGGGGTGTAGTCAGTTTCGCTAGTACAGCATAGCGAGCGGATCCAGGATCGAGCAATATCAATGGTGTCGGGTACAGGCTGCAGTTTAGACAGTTTGACCTCTGTGGCTGTCAGCGACCCGGGCTGAAGCGAAGCAGTCTCGAAACGAGAGTACATCGATGACTGAGGATGGTAAAACTTCTCCTTCCAATCTTCCGTGTTTTTGCTACCATCTTCAAGTTTGAATTCGTGCTGAAATCTTTCCCTTGAGCTAGGAAGATACAGCTGCTCCTGGTCGGGTTGCCGCATAGTCCACTGTATAAGGCCCTTCCAGTCATATTCCAATGGTCTCTCATAATCGGGCATGGCTATCTCATCGGCTTCAACAGCGGCGATGAAACGGTCTTGGAAATCTTGCGTTGCCTTCAAAATAGTAGAAGCCTTCTCTTTGCGAATTCTGGCCCAAAAGCGTCGCAGCGCTGGCAGTCCAACGGTTGGGAATAAGCGAGCCAACAGACCCCAATCGATGACTTTGTCTATACCACCAAGTAGGCTGCGAATGGCCACAAACGCCGCCAAAAGTTCATCGCTGTCGGGACCCGTCTGTAGTTCTGCAGTCATTCCCCGCTCCTCCGTATCAAGAGTGAGAGCAGTCAGGTTTCGCGAAGTCAGTGCCGCGCGTTTTGTGACGGGCGGCGCCATTTGAGGAGTACTAGCAGAGATTAAGCCAGATTGATCATGTGCGGCAGCAGATGGTGGCTCAGGTTCCTCATCCGCCGATACAGAGGAGGAAACCAATTCATCCTCATCGGCTTTGATGACAACAACTTCGGGCTCTGTGCTCTGTTGCTTGTCCGACTTATGCCATTGTATTTTATGCACCCGTACATGGTTTCCAGCGTCACCACCTAGGAAGTTGATGAAAATATTGTGCTTTTGCGTGGGCAACTGCTCGATGTACTCATTCTCCATCTCGATAGTCAGACACATTCTGAGTTTCTCCACGAAATAATCAAATTGTGAGCGATCTTCGTGAGCAGTAGAGAGGGTCTGATATGGCACGCGATAATGTGATGTCCAGGAAAACCATCCAGAGCCTGCAATCCAACCATTTTGTTGCATCGCTCTGGCCAAACGCTCGAAAGGACGCGTCACGCTATCGCGAGCCCACAGCGGCGCTTGGTTTCCAATAAGGCCATGACTATTTTCGTCGATGTCATTGAAGAAAATATCCAAGGTGATCCCAGCACATGCGGATAGAGAGACCTGTTGGATGTCATGTGCAGGAGGCAAAACATCAGTAACGGGCCAGAAATGCTGACCCTGGTATTCATCCACAGCATGGCTTGCCTTCTCGGCCACGCGCCTCTTTTTTCCGGGAGGGCTTGGAATATCGCCAGTATCCGCGGCCCGTTTCGCCATTACTTGGGCCGCATATACCGGGGCGCTCAACGTGGCAACACCAGCAGCCAGTGACCTCCTACCCCGCCCACCAACCTTGCTGTCTTGTCGAAAGGATTTCGCCATAGTGCTGTCTTCCTCTTCCTCTTCGACGTTCTCTGCTTCATTAGCATCGCAAGGAACTCCTGGCATTTGATGTGGGAGAATATTTGCCGGATAAAGCTGCCGAATCGCCTCAACGAGGGCCCTGGTCTCTGGGGCGAATGCCATGACTGATGGGATAGTGATGATTTGGCATTTTCCTATTCGGCCATCCGGTGCTCTAAACGCGTGCCACTGGTCGAATATCTTCTTCTCTCGGATCATCTGTAGCATGACCGATTTGATCTTTGCACCGCTGGGGATGTCTCCCTCGCACTGCTGCAACTTCCAATGTTCAGAGACGAGAATCTCTAGTGATTGTCCGGCTGGAAGTGCCCCACTGTACTGGTTCAGTAGTCCAAGAATGATATTCATCAATTTATGACGAAGGGGATTCTTTATGCGTGGTTTCTCTAAGGCTTCTTTGATGCTCTCAGCCGGGAAAGTAGTGTCTTGCGGGGCCAAGGTGAGAGCAGAAGGGCGAGCCTCGGGCACCTCCAAGATGGTCTTTTGCAAATGCGGTAAATTCCCTGAAGCTCCAAGATCTTCAGTTATGCCCTCAGTACTGCGGTGCCCAACAAGTTGCCGTGCCGAGTGTTTCGCGAAAGGGTCAACTTGCCGCGGTGGGAGGGTGGAGAGGACCGTCAAGAGCTCTGCTTGCCCCGACAAAATTGAGACATCTTCATTGACATCCGCAGGCTCAGGACTCCGAAGATGCTTCTTTTTGGCTGGTGGAGTAGCAAGACCCGAATACTCTCTTCTTTCGTGCATGGTGTCTTCGTTGATAGCCTCATTGCGCACTCCCTTGCTGGTGGTGGATAGGTTACTTGGATAAACACTATTTGCCTCGGTAGGAAGCTTTCGCGCAGGCGGTACTCGACGCCTGCCGGTAGCCAAACTGGGTTTCTTGGGGGCGGGCATGAGCTGAGGCTTGAAGGAGGGATTGCAGGGGGTTTGCGACTTTTCGAGATGATACTTCAAGCCCACATCATTCTTCCAAGTCCCATCACATTTTTCGCATCGAAATTGACGATTGCCAGGTGCTTGGGCCTTTGCTTTGGTTGATTTTTTGCTGGCTTGGCTGCCATCGCGGGTTTTCGGACGACCACGAACGCGTGCTTTTGGTTCCGGGGCCTCATTGTCCGCCACTTCATCCGGGCTGTCAACCTTAATACTCTCCTCGTGGGTTTCTGATTCGGCTTCCTCGACAATCAAGCCGGCGTCTCCTTGACCCTCAACAACTACGGATTCAGCAGCGGCTCCACGAGTTACTCTTTTTGCTGAAGTGTGTACCAATGTCGATTCCAGATTGCGGGGGCCATTACTTTGTTCCGAGTTCAGCTTCTTCGGGCGACCTCGTCTCTTCTGTTGGGAGAGACCTCGCTGGCACAGGTCTGACAGTGTTGATACTTGAACGGTGTTGCCATCTTGAAGGTCCAGAGGCTCGAAGTTGTAGGGCTCGGAGGAGGCGCGGTGCTGTTTCTTGAGCTTCAGGGGTGATTGAGAGGCTCTCTGTGAAAGAGTGCTGTCTTGATGTATCTCCGAGTTCGGCATAGTGTACCAATAGAGTGAGGAAGACTTTCCAGGCCGGCCGCGCTCACTCTTCACAGTAAGATGCTTTGTGTTGCTTGGCTGAATGTTGTCAGTCGATATCGAAGCTGTCAAGCCAGCCAGGTAGCGCGTGAAGCTGGGTCCAATAGTCATTGCGCATAATTGCGGATTCGTCAGCCCGTTAGACCCTGATTCTTGAATGCACAGTGCAACAAGAGAAGTTATTGGGATGTAAATGCACCAGGAGGGGCAGTGTGCTTCTCCAAGCCCTTGGGCGCTTTTCAGCATACCAAGCATGCTGCTGTCATCTTCGCCGAGCTCTTGTGTAGCGTTCTTCCATGATTTTGTTGTCCTTTTACCAGTGGCTAAGAAAATGGACCAATCCCTTGCATTCATTTCTCTATTGAAACGAATACAGTCTTTGAATATGCGATTGTTGAGCTTTGCGGCGACGTATTGAATAGTGCCGCGAGCATTGAGAAATCTGCATATCTTGGAGATAACTTTCATCTGCCATGCCATCCCCAAGACCCCAAGCTTCGACTTTAGATCTTGAAGGCGCATGACATTCCACTCTTTGCAGATTGCCATGATCGTAGTGGCAAGTACTTTGTAATCGATAGAGTCACCCGTCCACCTCGTATGCCATGGCACAGGCTCCAAGCTTTCGACTAAGCATTGCCTTGAAAGAGTGATATCCATCTCGGCTTCTCTTCTTTCGTTCGACTCGTCTGATATGGAGGGCGCGAGGAACCTGAGCCAGAGCTTGCTTGTTTTGGTACCGCGAACAAGGGTAGTCCGCTTCGTGATGTAGCCCTTCTCTACTAAGCAGCTGGTTCTCTTTGGTACCGATCGTTTATCTTGACCGACAAGCCTACCCAGATCTCCTTGCAGAATTCCTTTGGTTTTTGTGGAGGCAATACCTTGTAGCAGAATCCATTCTGATCGAGGAATGCGCTTATGATCAACTCCATGCCCAGCCAATGATTCCCACATGGTGTCTTCTGACACAAATATTCGTATCGCACCTTTATCCTGCGGGCTTGTATCTGGAGGCGGCGCTTTTGACGTGTGCTCCGCGGCAGGCGATTCGCGCTCCAAGGAGAGTATCTCACCTAGAGGAACGCCATTATATTTCCGAAGATTCCCAACTGATACGTCATTTCTATCTACCACCCATTTCCAGATGACTGCGGTGGTGCGATAAGCTTCCGACTGTGGATTTTCCAAAATCTGCAAGACATCATCTTGAGAGGGTTCTCCCTCGCTTAACGAAAGCAAGACGAGAATTGACGAGAGGAGTTCCGTTACAGTACATCCTAAGATTCGTTAAGAAATGAACCACACATATTACTAATTGATGACCTTTATGGCGGATTGTTTGTTGAGAGCAAATGGGAAACCGATGGGCAGAGAAGTAAGTTGGTAGATGGAGGCGTACCTTGTTCACCGGCGCAAGACGCAAGAAGCACTATGCGCTCAAGCAGCCCCTCAAGATTTGTCACCATGGTTTAAGATGCAAATATGTCAACGCGACATGTTGTAAGTGGATGATGAAAAAAATGATGGCTTCATCGTTTGTTCGCAGGAGTTGAACTCGCAACCAGAGCGCGCAGCGTCGCGCTCAACGCTAAAATTTTCTCCTTCGAGAACTGTGGGGCGGATAGCACGCTGTCAGCTGTCGCGATTCTCAGTGTCTGACAACTTGGAGGCCCGACTGACAGCGAGGACCTACCTATGTACAGCCACCTTTAGCATGCAGTAATAGAAGAGCGGTCGATACTTCATCATGCCAACTCTACCCCATAATATATATATTATACATCTGGCTACCCGCTCTGTTTCGTGTCCAATTTCTGTTGCTCATGTTCTCGGATTCGTCGATATGCCTCAACCACGTCCTGTCTTTCCTCCTCTAACTGCTCGCGCCGCCGCAAGCTACCAGCAGATTTTGGCACGCTTCCAACATTGACCGTGGCTGTTCCAACAACCTTGAGAAGTCGCGACTGCTTTTTGTGTAGTTCCGGAGGAGCATCTGCCACATCATGCAAGCTGAGTTTCACCTCCCCTCTCTTCTTTTTCAAGTCTCCCCAAGGGTCGTCGTCGAAGGCGTCTTTGCCACGTTTGCCCTTCTTCTTCTTTTTACTGCCTTCATCATCGTCTAAAATAGATGTGGGAAGAATGCCGCTTGCTTCATCGTTCTCGAGCTCACGTTCTGCTGCCAGTTCTTTTTCTTCCTCCCTCTTTTCCTGTATCTTTCGCTCCTCTTCTCGCCACTGGTCGTATAGTTTGTGCATTTTGCGCTCTTTTCGCGTTCTTTTGATCTTGATGCCATCTAAATCCTTGCTGCCTTTGATACCCGACTTTGTTGAGACCCCTGCCAATGGCATTGCAGCATCTACACGGGCTGCAAACGCTCGGAGATCCTCACCGGGCTTTATTTGAAGTGGTTCGCTTTGTCGATTGGGCTCTGATGTCGTAGACTGCTTATTTCTTCCACCGTCGAGGCCAGAATGTACCTTTTTGCCGGCCGTAAATGCCATCAATCGTTTGAAGGCGCGTGGCGCATCGCTGTCGGATTTTGCCTGACGGCGCTTCTTTGCTTGCCTAGACGTGCCATTCGAGGCAACAGAATTGACAGGAAGTGGCAGTGCCCTTTGCGAAGGCGGCAAATTGAAACTGTGGCTACTATTAGTCCCAAAGTAGGTGGTGGTAACAAAGCACATGGACGTACTCCGCATCGTCGCCTCTTTTCCGCTTGTGCTTGTGCGGCATGCTGAAGTATACTAGCGTTGAACCGCGATGTATGAACTAGTTCCACGCTGTTGAAAGCCTCGTGATATGATGGCTGTCCTTTGTGCTGTTAAAATGCTGATGCACCATGAGTCCTGAAAGCCAAATCAAAAAAGTTGGATGCAAAGTCAGGACCCGTGGTTATTTTGTGGGTCGGCGGGGCAGTCTGATCATGGCTTTTTGTCTCGAACAACGGCAATGCATGCATACTTGGACATGTGCAAGTCAATCGCGCAGTTTAACTTGTGGAGAGCTATCATTTCGTGCAAGATCGATGGGACTGCTACGAGCCGAGAACGTGGGTTGAGTCAAGTTGACATGGGTTTGCCTTGGCCACCCGCGATATGTTTGCGCTGCGGCCCCGCAACTGCCGAAGAACAATAGTAAGAGATGGCGCGCATGGATCTATCTTTACCGTATTGTGACTGCCGTCTCAACTAGACAGTACCTCGGCTGTTTTCTCTTAGTTGAAAGGGTCTTGAAAGGGTCCTTTGGCGTATTTTCGTCGGCCAATTGAGAGCTCTTGACTATACCTTGACCCATCCGACCAACGACGCCACGACTACCGCTAAGTGGCCCGATTGAAGAACAATACTAAGATGAGTAGACGGATAGACTTGTTTCGTAAGAAACAATATGACTTTGGAGCTTTGACGAACACCTGTCTCGTGGAAGACGATATGTTGTCGCAAGACATAAAAAGGTATCATTTCCTGCTCTTCTGTCTAGACAATCATCATCATCATCACCCGCACATACACTCACCTGCCTCATACACAACAAACCATATCCCAACTTTTCAAATCAACTATTTCCATCATGCCTGTCCTCCAGCACAACAAGCCCACCAACAGATGCCAGGGCAAGAACACCGGCTCTCTTGCTCGTGAGCTTCAGCCCAAGCAAGCCTTCATGCCAGACCATGTCGAAGCGGATGAGAATGTCAACTCCGCAAAGACGGCTACCATGGGCTCGGCCTCCAATGAGAAGTGGAACGGCTACCAGGCGTGCACCATCATGTAAAATCTTGGCTACTTGCCATGATTTTGCGTTTCGCTTCGTCTGACCAGTGAACGAGAATCACATCGTCTACTTGGTCTCAACGTACCTCTTACTCGCCAATTTCAGCTCTTTATTTCACCATCGATTGGCTTTGGCCTTTAACACAACCTGTGTGCGGCCAAAAGCTATTTTATTTTAAACACCAAACTTCGACAACATTTCCGCGGCAACTTATGGCAGGCCTAAGCGCTGCGCAACGACAATGTGGAGATTGACTGGGTCCTGTATAAATTTCTTTTCTTCTACGGCTTGAAATTGGGGTTTATTTTTAATTCAATGGAATTCAAAGGAATTGCTACTATACTACGTTCCAGTCCAGTTTTTTGCATGCATGTTCTTTCTTGGTAGATGGTGAGAGCAGTGAGACGGACCAGCGGAGAATGGCCCGCAGTAGAAAGCCACGAAGTATACGGATTAGAGCTAGAGTAATTGCTCTATGTAATGCTTCGTTCTGATCGCGAAATGTTCTCACCTCAATTTCGCGACTCTCTTAGCTACCTGACATGTAACACGCTTCGGCCGAGGTAGTTTGCTTTTGGCCGCTCGAAGGCTTAGCATAATAAGTTCTGGCACGACATTTCAGCAATACAACAATGGTACGCAGGCAGGATAGTAGGGTTTAAATGATGGGAATACTTTTGTGCACCACGGAGGATTGACTATATTCTACGAGTATCTCTCCACAGCCTTGCAGGAGATTGGCTCTCTGCTCGGGAACCAATGTTCGAAGGAAATTTGCCTACCTATGCGGCTACGGTGTATTCCGCAACTCACTTACTGTTACTTAAAGCATTTGCAGTGCTATTACAGTATGGAAAGTGACGCCCCGCAAGCTGGCTAAAAAGAGATGGTATGGTGGTGGGGCATCAGTTGGCGGTGAGAAGATTTCAACGGCAGAATTTTGAGATTTTTCTGCTGGACTTTTTTTTAAGTGGATTGCAGCCTCTAAGAGAGTACAGGGTGAGTCGCAACCTCGGATTTTCTTCATTATTACCATTTCCCAATACCCGGCAGGTCTTTCGTTGTCTGAATGGCGCCGTCAAAGAGCAAACTGCTAAGGCAGTCCAAAGCCCTCCGCGATGCTGCTTCAAAAACCTCGTTGCATGCTGGCGAGTCGTCCGACGAAAACGAAGAAGGCGCTCTGAAGGTTGGGCTTTCATTTTACCAGCTTTTCGCTGAAACAAGCGCTAATTCACAATCACAGTTTGATATGGAGGGTATTGACGATAGTGATACGTCCGAATCGTCTATTGAGCTGGAAAAACGCCTGCCCAAACGCACTGGATCCACCGAATCAAAGAAAACTCCTTCGGCAGATGACGACGATGACGACGAGGAGGAGGAAGAGGAGGACGATGAGGACGACGAGGACATTCCTGTTTCAGACCTCGAAGATTTGGACGAGGAAGACCGGGAAGACCTCATCCCACACACCCGCTTAACGATAAACAACACGTCTGCCCTCCTTGCATCTCTTGATCGCATATCCATTCCTACAGGCAAGACCGTGCCGTTCGCATCGCATCAAATCATCGTTTCCTCCACCAAGACGGCCGAGTCTATTCCTGACGTGTCCGACGATCTTCAGCGAGAGCTTGCTTTCTATACTCAATGCCTCGACGCCGCACGACAAGGTAGAAGCAAGCTTCTAGCCGAAGGCGTACCATTTTCTCGGCCAAAGGACTACTTTGCCGAGATGGTCAAGGAAGATGCGCACATGGAGAAGATCAAGGCAAAATTGATCGAGGAAGCCTCTGCGAAAAAGGCCTCGGCCGAAGCACGAAAGCAGCGTGACTTGAAGAAATTCGGCAAACAAGTCCAGGTTGCCAAACTGCAAGAGCGCGCAAAGGCCAAACGCGAAACACTGGAGAAGATTAAAACTCTGAAGAGAAGTAAGACCAGACACTATCGTATATTTAGTAACACGCACTAACCTGAATTTCTCAGAGCGCCAAGAGTCTAGCGGCGACGTCGGCACAAAGGAGGGTGATCTGTTCGACATAGCAGTCGACGACGAGATTTCCAAGCACTCTCAGCGGACTTCTCAGCGGTCTGGCGCGGGCCGTTCATCTTCAGGGCCGAATACAAAGCGCCAAAAGAAGAACGAAAAGTTCGGGTTTGGCGGTAAAAAGAAGCACTCGAAATCCGGTGATGCGATGAGCTCGGGCGATATCAGCGGTTTCAACGCCAAGAAGATGAAGGCCGGTAGCAAGAAGATAAAGGCAAGCCGCCCTGGCAAGAGCAGGAGAAAGGCAATGTCGAGCAAATAAAACTTCGTGGTGGATATCTGGATGGTGTTTGCATCGTTCTTAGGCGTCTGGTATTCATGTACAAAACAGTCACATTAGAGGAGCTCCTTGTTCAACTGCTGTCAGGATACCACTGCATTTTACACGTGAAGAGACGACTGCATGATTTACATTGGAACATGATTCATCCAAATTCATCTATGAAAACAAAAGGATATATAAAGATTTCGAATGAAGTGAGGGGTAGAAAGGGTGAACATCACACCGATACAGAAAACCAGTAGCAGTCAGGTATCAACCTGGCTCACTATCGCTGTATCAACTCAGTTGTAATGATTGAACAAGCCTGAGCTATTTTCGCACACCAAGTCCTTCCCCCCATGCAGGATGTCGCTAGAATGTTATTGGCAACCCAAGAAAATGCAAGCTGATGCAATCGCCGAGTGTTGAGTAAGAGAATCACGAAATATGGTTTGCTTTTGCTACCTCTCAGGCCTCCAATTACCTTGAATAGCCAAAACTTTGCGCCGGGAGCGAGCCAGCAAGCATGCTGCCCATTGATAGAGCTTGCCATGGTCGAAGAGGTAGCAGCAATTTCGTAAACAGTCCGGAGACCCAAGACATGAAAAGTTGTAAACCCAAGTCATAACCGCCCAAGTACGCCTGAAGAATCCCATGGTATCGAAAAGAGAATGTGGAGTGTCTCAAGATGCTCTGCCGCGCCAAGAAATGACGGCATATTCAACGACCTGCGACTTGAGGATGCGGCAGTCAAATGAACAGGATAGTTTGCCAAAAGCCGCTTATGATTATGCCGCCTCTGATTATTGGGAAGCTGCGACACACCAGTGGCGGTGAAAAGCCCAGGCGCTCTTTTGACATTCCTTACTGCAGTATTTCGTCCGGCGGCATCGGCGGCATTTCGCAAATTGCCGTGGAAATTCTTCCCAGGTTCCACATTGATAGTATGCGCACTGTCGAATACCACCGCGAGTGTCGTCTTTGCGACACAGGTTACGCATGACCACGCCAGCCCAATACTGCATGTCAGTACTATGATATCTGACGGTGAACTTTTCGACGAGTGGGAAAAGATTAAAGTCATTTGGCAGCAGATATTCTTCATCGACAGCCACAGAATCGTCAATCTCTTCGCCGTCGCCTTCGCCATCGAGGGCTGCAAGATCTTTGCTGATGGCGAGCCTAGGGACCAGGTGGCTGTTTTGGAAATACGAACGGAGTCCACAATATTTCGAAACGTAGGCAAGAAGCTGCAATGACATGAGGACATCTTCTTCCCTCGGCATGACGGCCAGCATTTGTGGATTCGGCACGAAATGACGATCCAGAAGATATCTTGGCACTGATGATGTTGGTGCATTTGGCTGAGGAGGCGAGACCAAAGAAGGACGGTTTGGGGACAGACCAATGGGGGGTACAGGAGCGGGTGTCACATCGCTTCCAATGCTTCCATCGATTGGCGAGCGGTGAGTGATATTGAAGGCACCAGTGTCTTGCGTCTCAGAGACAGTTGCGGCAGTCAATTCGAGCGACTCTGTGGCCAGCATCCCTTCGCCATCATCCATTGTGATATCTTGTATCCCGACAGCTGATCGCATGTCTGCAGTTCCAGTCATTTCTGCATCGGGCGATTCATCGGATGGCATGCTGTCGTTGTTGATATCGTCGACTTCGGCGGTGGAGGTTTGATGGCGAATCGATGGCCTGCGGCGCTGTGGAGTCGTCTCATCGATGTTTGCCGTTGGCATCACGGTCGGAGAGCGTAGTTGAGGGAGCGGAAGCGGTGTTGTGGGGGAAGTTGGCTGGGAGACAAGTTCCGACTGCCCCAGAAGTGTCATGGATGCCAAGCGGTCGACATCTCTCACGGGACGTACGAGGCCATCAATAGCTTCCATCATAGGAACGGCTGGTGCAAGGGGTTGGACAGCTTGTCGAGTTACCGATGCCTGGCCTTCAGTGGCTCGAAAGCTGTGGCGATGGCGAGTTGGTGTAACTGCTGGTCTATCTGAGGTTCCTGACCTTACGGGGGACGATGCAGAGGACGCCTCCGTTCCTTGACGGAGAGCAGCAGTAGATGGTCCGGCATAGCTGGCCGTAACATCAATCGATGGAGGCAGCGCTTGCCGTCGTAAGGTTCTGTGCTCTGTTTCGTTGCGTGAAGATATATTCGCAAAGAGGCCGGAGGCCCTGGAAGATACGCGATGATCGTGGCTGCGGTGTCGATGGTGGTGCTCGTGTATCTGTTTCTGTTTCGCTTCGTCTGCTTTTTCACGACATCGATCAATTACTTTGATGTAGTTGTCGAGAATGGTTGCGATGACAGGAACCATGTCGGCCTCAACCACACGCGTGCGCACATTTTCCGTTCCGCGCACACCAATGTTGACGACACATTGAAATGCTAGGTTCCATTTCCACATGCCCATCATGTCTTTGCTCCTGCCTTGTTTCAGGATGCAGACAAGTCTTTCGATGCCTCCATCGACAGTCAAGATGTCTCGAATACGCGCGGAGGATGTTGTGAGGTATGCGAGATGGTTGAGAGAGTTGATCAGGGGTAGAGTCGAAGTGCAATCCAGCGCTCGGCGGTCATACAACGCAGTTGTAATGCCCACCGATGCTTTGTTGACGTTTGGTATACTGAAATTGACTTCTCTCATCTTGGCAGTCTCCTATGTGAAAAGGGCGCTATCGCCAAGATTTTGTCCGAGATACGATTCACGTGGGAGCCTGCCACCGCGGCTTGAGCACCTTTGAAATGGATGATGCCAGTTTCCAGCAGCGACGGAAGAATTGGCGACCGAAAGCGAGCCGCTGGGGCGTGGAGGAGTAATGATGTGACAAATGGTATTTGTGCAGTCGGGTTCGTTCGGGGCACGAGGAGTTGGGCCGCGAGAAGAGGTGCTTCGAGCGGGCGGTGCCACGGCGTAGGGATAGTGCAGATTGTTGCCGGTGCCCTGTAGGCGTCTTTGAGATGGCTGCGATGGTTCTCAGGTGAAGAGACCGGCGCGACGTGAGATGCCAGTTATGGCCGAATAGGTCGTGTTTCAGGCAGGCTTTAGGGCCGCCAGGTCGAGTCGTGAGCTAAATGTCTTGAGTAGTGGCAATAGGACGGCGAAAACCGATGGTGTTGCGAGTGCTGACACGGTAAACACTATTTCCCAATGATGCTCGCCGATGGGCTGGGAAGGATGGGTATTGACGAGGCGAGATGAAGAGAGTCGAGGAGGAGGTTGGCTGAGGAAGACTTCATCCAGCGACGTCAGGGAGATCTAGTGGGCGAACGGGCCTCTCTGGGTAAGCACAGCGTCAATCTGACAGCACAGGGCTGTGGTGCACTGTGGTGCGCTGTGCTTACAAAAAGTCCCCTGGAACAGGCTCTCGGCGCCTATCTGTGTCGGGTACCTAGGCCCCCTAGGCAGCTGATGAGTGCCGCTACCTTACTCGACCCAGCGGCATGCCCGAGGTCGCCGCACAGTGCGGGGTCTTGCCATGGACAAATTATCCGCCACGCTGCCAAGCTCCCTACCTCCGTCCGCTACCTAGTGTAGGTAGGCTTGCAAACGCCCACTTTAGAAAGACTGGCCCAACGCTCCGTGGAGCACAGTCCTTGGTGCACCGCTTTGTCCATGTTCACCGGTCTCTGCATGCTCGCCAACTACTACCCTGGATGCACGCCACGAATGATGAAGTGCCTTAAATCAGCTGCTTCGCGTGAATTTTGAAGGAATGCTCTAGGTGTGTCCTTGTATTCTTGAACCAGTATTTAGCAATAATTCAATGGACTGAATAATCAAACGGCCTTATTTGTGTCCACACCAGCGTGCATCGGCTACCTACCTAGCACTAGGTACTTTGGAAGTTGGCGCTGACCAATTTGCAAATCACCTGTGCGGACTACCTCATGTGGTAGGTAACCTGTGGGTGATAGTACGACAACTCCAGCGTGCACCTCCACAGCCTCCCGCGCAGTTAAATATGACCTGCTCGTCCAGACAATTAGTCGGGTACCTTCTAGCGTAGAGAATGGTCGGTGTAGGTCGAGCAGAGAAGCCGCCCACCTCTTCACTTGCATACCGATATAATCTTGCCAAATTCCCACATAATGAGCGTACCTACGTAGCTAGGTAACGTGCCCACAATCTACACCCGAGGCCATACACAACTTATCAGTGCGGAGGAGACCAAACATTCTCTGGCGCAGAGATGCCACGCATTCCTGCACAGGTACGAGAGCAGGGAAAGATCAGTAGCTGCTTCTTAATAACTTGGGCGATTAGCCGCGTCAAAACCAGCTGAGCGCTCGAAACGCATCGTGGTGCTGCGTGACCGACACAACATTACACAGATAATGACCGGTAGATAGAAAAAAAAAAAAAAAAACAACACGTCAGGGTATCGATCATATAAATATGTATAATACACAGATAGTCGCTAATCACCGCTGATTTTGGCATGACGAAAATACTTCATACCAACCCACGCCACCACAACCCATACCCAAGCCATGACGCACGTAAGTATTATAAGGGCAGGATAGTAGCCCACTATGGGCAATGTCGGGTCATCCTCTAACTCGGGCGGCGCATAAGGCGTCTTGCCAACGTCCCATGCCCAGCTCCAAACGTCAAGGCAAGAGCCCATGCCAATGACAAAGACCAACCATGTCACTGTCAGAACAACCCAACCCCACCACTCAGTCTCCGCATAATCCCAATCGGCATCTGAAGTAGGTATTGTATTCGTAGAGATGCCACTGTATGATAGTGGTGATTTGACCGGCTGGAAGGAGTTCGGGCGAGGTGATGAGGCCCGTGTAGTAAAATATGAATCCGAGCCCGAGGAAGAGGCCGACAAATTTGGCCTTGAGGGGGTCGCATTATGTGTGATATGTAAAGCATCATCCTCGTCGGTTGTTGATGTATCCTGTGTTGCCTGAGCATCCGTATCGCGCTCCGAGTCGACTGTGCGCCCAGGTCCAGCAGGCGTGTCCAGTGATTCAGGGTTTGCCTGAAGGCGTATGTCCGCAACATCGAGGCCAAGGGCATCGCGACTGCCATTGGAAGTCACGGCGCGATTGTCGGGCAAAGGGGAATATGCTGTGGCTTGTGCTGTATCGATTGCCAGATGTTTGCCGTCGCGCTTGTCCCGCTGCGCTCCTCTGCCGAGTAAGGCAACCTTTCTAAGGGAGCCGCGCCTCCGCCGTGTTTTCGGCTGCGCTGGTATAGAAGTGGTATGAAATGGCCCAGGGTCCTGTGAAGAACCTCCATCGGCCGCGACATCAATCGGTTGCGGTCCCAAGGCCGGTTTCATAAAGGGAAATCTAGACAGCAGTCCAGGCCCAGCGGATGGCTTCTCTCGATGCGGCGACGGCATTGAGACTGCGTCTTGATGAGATTGTGACGTATCCATAATATAGTCCGAGCCCGAATCACTGCAGCAATGTAAGAATCAGCGGCCAAGAATGGCCTTTCGAGCTGTCGGCGTTGATTATTTGAACATTGTAAATCGACCGTTACGTTGGTAGGAGCTCTATTCCTGGGTGTTAGCAGACCTTGGCCGAGGACAACCACAGTCATTTCGAATCTTCCCACCTGTTGGATAAATTCGCATCTGCCCGTAGACGCGCGGGTTGCCACTGCGCCAAAGTCTTCGCGATTGAGTCTTGTGCCGATTTCAGCTGCTAAAGGCATTGGTAGGTCCATATCCAGGTAGGTACCCAGACGCAAGGTCCCGCTCTTCACCCCTGATGAGAGCGAACATCTGGCAACTGGGTACCCACTATTACGCCTCAACCTTCTGGCGCGCCAGATCAACATCCATTGTCGGCGCAATCTTCTCACCTTCAACGTCGCAAATTGTGCGCGGCTGGATTTCCGCTGTTCTAACTTAGTGTAGGAATTCATCTTATTAATACTGGGGCGCATGGATTCTTCCAATTTCTACCCCTCAGACACGTCGCTACCCGAGCTTGTCGTCGACGACACAAGCGCAAGCCACACTGAACGTTCGACGAAGCAATACTCCTCTGTTCTGCAGCCCTCGATGCTCTCCCCGGACAGCGCCGTCCTCTCCAAATCCACGATGGCGGCAGATGGCGCAACACAGCAACCCAGCGGTCAATCGACGCCCACCAACCCGTTCAATTTCCAGACGCAGGTTATATCTACCTCACCCATCAAACCAGTAGGGAAAACCTGGCCTTTTCCATGAGTACAGGTAGCTCAGTATGGCTGACTCGTCCTTTGGAAACAGAACATTGGTCAACGACGAGGACATAGATATAAGCACAGCAGCATCTCCACACAGCATCAAGTATTTCAAGAACCCCCTCAACGGCCGCCGCTGGTTCTCCCAGCATCTCTGCCAATTCCCACCGTGAAAGAGGCGTGGAAGAGCATGAATAAAGATCAAAAACTGCGCCTGTACTGGAGTCTGTCGCATCTTGCCATTGCTGTGTTTATCTTCTTCAAATCTGAGGGTTCGCTTTCGGCAACCGCGCTGTCGCACCTTGTCTTTTTTGACGCCGGAAGCGCAGCCGTTTGTGTGGCTGTTGATGTTCTAGGAAACTTCGAAGTATGGAGGCGCAGCAGTATTCGCCATCCATTCGGACTAGAAAGAGCCGAAGTCCTGGCCGGGTTCGCCATGTCTATATTCCTTCTGTTCGGAGGGTTTGACCTTGTGTCGCATAACCTCAAGCATCTTCTTGAATCCGTGGGCGACCATGAGCCGCATCATGAACATGTCCATGGGGAAGGTCCGGCAGGCTCTGTTGACCTTGCCTGCGCAGCTGCTATTCTTAGCACGCTGGCATCCGCTTACGGCCTCAAGAACCACGCTCGAATTGCCAAGGTCATGAGGGTTTCGTACCTCGCGTCTTTGCCAAGCATCCTATCGAACCCCTTTCACCTTTTGACACTTCTCTTCTCCACCCTCGTCGCGTTGCTGCCGCTCTTCTCGATCGAACTCTACATCTGGCTGGATAGATTGATATGTGCCCTTATCTCACTGGCCATGTTTGGGCTTGGAATGCGTGTCGCTATCGCGCAAGGCCTCATGCTGCTCATGTCTTACGGTGGCACCAACGGTGGTGCTGAAGTGTCTTCCGTGATCCAAGACATAGAGTCCGAAGCCAGTATAGCCAGTGTTGATGAAGCACAATTTTGGCAAGTTCACTACGGACTCTGTATGGCCAACTTGAAAATCAGCGTACAAAAAGGGAGTGACGAAGTGGCTCTCAGCAGATTACGCAACAGAATCACTTCGTTGATACAGAATCGCCTGGGAGGAGGTTACGGTACAGGTGGCAACGTCAAGTGGGAAGTATCGTTGCAACTCAACGCGGATGGTAGCTCATAGATCTAAATAAAAACGCCATGTTCACTACTAGAATACATTTAAACTCAATGGAGGAGGGTATCTTCATTCGGCGACTGGTAAGCTAGGTATGCATTGCTATACCAGAGGTGCCCGCAATCATGGCTTTGCACAACGGGATGCATGATATGACCCGCCGTCAGTGCAATTTCCAGGTCCACTATCACAACAAAAAGGAACCAAACAGAATCGAATCACCACACTCCTCTAGAATAGTCCCCATCTGCCACGTTCTTTAGGAAGCTTACGGTTGGACGCGAGGCGCTCCCGTTCGAGGCCTTCCAACTGTTTCAAGCTCTCCATCTTATCCAGTACAAGTTCTAGTAACTCTTTCCTGCGAATAACCTCCAAATGACGGCGGACTTTGGGATCCTCTTTGGCGAATCTCTCGATATCAGCGTCTGACAAATGCTTGCCCAAGCGAAGATCGAGTTCCCTAGGAAAATTGTAATAGAATTCCGATAATAACTCCACATTTAAGAAGAGTACAGCCGTTGAGGCGAGCTTTGATGCAGCAGCATCAAGAAATATTTCGGGGCAATGGTATTTGTTCTTCAGATTGGCGCATTGCTTCGATTTGACAGCCATTAGGCGCAGTTTTATGATGTCTGCTCTGTCACGTAGAAAGACTGCTTCACGGCCTATCACTAGTTAGCTTCTCTCTGCTTTTGCTAAAGGATTTTCATATACTTGCCTTTGCTGAGCAATGCAGCGCTGAATCCACCAGCGCCACTGCGCCCGTCGCCTTCCACGATAACATCGCCTTTGCGAGCCTTGTCGACAAATGACATAACCTCATTCAGTTTACGGCGTCCGCCAACCTTAGCCTCAAGCGTTGAAAGCGCCGTTTCGCAATCATGCAATTCTTTCTTTAAGGTATTGCTGACATGTTGTCTCCCTTGAGCCCACTCTCGTTCCTCGACATCGATTTCGAACTTATAAGGCTTGATGCAGTTTTCGACCTGGTCGCTGGTACTGTAGAATCGCTCATTCAAGATTGTTGATGCAGCGTCCATGACTGCGCTTCTTGCGAATGGGTGATTGGAAAAGCTGGACTGGTCCAGAAGCGCTTCAACGTGATCTTGAATCGCAGTGGAAACGACAGTGGTTGCCAATCTCCCAACACCAAGCTTTGTCAATGCTGAAGAGGAAGCATCAAGCTGACGACGCCAGTAAAGCGAGTCAGCATCAGCCTTGGGTAGATCCGCTAACCTGTCTGTTTCGGGAGGTGGAGGCAGCAAGTCTGTGACTGGTTTATTCCAGTACCTGGCTGCGAGCAAATCGAGCACTTTCTGGTCCAATTCACTCTTCAAAAGTTCATGCATCTGAGGTCGACCGAATTGTTCCGTCAATTGCTTGAATGAATGCTTCAGAGCATCGAGGCTTTCCGCCAAATATGACTCCGCGGACAGTGGGCGATCGTTATATTGCACCTTGAATTCATATGTGGCTTCTTCGAGCTCTTGACGGATAGCATCACTTGTAGTCTGCAAGCTGGAAGACATGGTTTGCTCCAGCACATGCATGAGCTTCTTTCGAAGTGTTGTTGTTCCGACGTTGACTCCAGCTTCCGGGCCGTATTCCAGTGGATGTGACGAAAAGAATGAGTTTTCGTTTTTCGTAATAGTGGCCAGCAGATTTGATGAGCCTTTTTTGAATAATCCTTGGGACTGAGGTGCTTTTGATACGACGCCGACATAGCCGAGGCGTAGTGGGTATTTCTTATCGTTCAGGATTTCTGCTCCTCGTGCCGCATCCACGAGATCCATCTTGGTTATTACTCCAATAGTTCGCTCGCCTCGTGGGTCGACTCGCCGCGAGGCACGCAGAGCAGTAGAGTTGGCAAGATCGACATCCGCGGCAGATATGGCGAGGATCACGTTGGGCGGCTGGATGTACTTGTCGCAAAGTTCCGATATCTTCTGTTTCAGCTGTAATGGCTGGTTTTGGCCTACCACTTGGATATAGCCGGGTAAATCTATCAGCGATAGGTCCGGTACATTCGGAGAGTAAACTGTGAGTTGAATGGGCTCGTGAGACACGCATTCGGAGTCTGGAACAGCCAGATTGAGGTCGGTCAAAGTTCTTTGAATGGAGGTGAAATCAGTGATGTGCTTGAGACCAAGATCGGGAAACTCCCCATATTCCTCAGCAGATCCTGGCGTGTTGACAAGAGTCAGCTCGATAGGTCTGCGAGTTACCATGTTTGACCCCTTGGGAAGGAACTCGTGACCAACGATCGCCTCTAACACCGAGCTTTTACCCGAAGATTGAGAACCAATAACGACGATCGATGGCAGTGTAAGTGTGCTAGACTGGCCAACTTTTTGTAGAATCGTCCGAATTTCGATCATCTTCTTGGTAAGGATCATCATTTGATCGTCCCTGGCTTCCTCTTCGCTCGATGAATCGTCTTCTCCCTCGTGCGCGTAACCAGCCGCAGCAGCTCCGACAGCCGTGGCCGCCCCGAGTTTGCTGTGCTTGGGGTCGTTATTGCCACCATTGTTGCCGCCGCTGCCGCCGGTAGCTTCTTGGGTGGGCTGAATCAGATTCTTCAACCATTCTGGAAGCTCGATTTGCTCCTTCGTATTTTCCCAACCCTTGTATGTTTGCTCGGCAACCCCCTTTGCGCTACCGAAAAGATTCGAAGCGGTGTTCGTGACTGCGTCTTTTGTCGAGTGGAAGACATCGATGGCGTATGCGCCAGCCTCTGTGGAAAATTAGGGCATTGCCAATATAGACTTCTGTTTAAAGTGACTTACGGGTTGCCTGATACTGAACCCAGGCAAAAGTTGCTATTGCCAGGCCGCCAAACATTGCAGGAATTCGTACAAACTTCAGCATCAACTTCGGTAGGAACCTAACGAAAGATGCATTGCGAACAGTAACCGCATTATGAAAAGCGTTACCACCAAGCCACATACGCCGCTGTGTTGCGCGAATCGAGCCGTCTGCCTGCAGAAGGCCACCAGTTTGGAAACGATGGATGTAGCGGGTCGAACTGACGGCGTTCGCATGCCGTGAGGCGGTACGAAGCCTTCCCACCAGCATCTGCCCGCGCATCGTTGAAAAGTATCGCAATAAAATTAGTGTAAACGTGTGCGCAAATGGGCTGAGATGTGCGCCTCAGAGGCTGATTGTCGAATCCTTTATGCGGTTTCTCATTGACTCGATGGTGTTGACGAGTTTCCGTTCTCGTAGCATGGTTCAGCACAGGATGCAGGGCGCGCCACATAACGTCAACGCCATTCCAAGACAGACCCATACCCCCACAATCGGATTATCGCCACGTGATAAGCTTATCGGCTCCCATTCCAAGCAAAATTTCTGGTGATAGTCTTGAAAAAGTTCCGTCGAGATCTTGGGCAGGATTGTAGTCGCTACAATGGCGATTCAGAAGAAGCACGGCAAAGGCCGCTTGGATAAGTGGTACAAACTTGCCAAGGAAAAAGGCTATCGAGCAAGAGCTTCTTTCAAACTTGTGCAATTAAACAAGAAATATGGCTTCTTGGAAAAGAGCAAGGTCCTGCTGGACCTTTGCGCTGCGCCGGGAGTAAGTGTCATTTCTGTCTGCCTCGCGCCTCCTCTTTCTGTACTAATTGCTACTTCAGTCTTGGTGCCAGGTCGCTTCCGAAGTAATGCCCGTCAATAGTCTCATTGTTGGCGTCGACTTATCACCTATCAAACCCATTCCGAGAGTCATCACTTTCCAGAGCGACATTACGACCGAGAAGTGTCGGGCTACCATTCGACAACACCTGAAGACATGGAAAGCCGACACCGTTCTTCATGATGGCGCGCCCAATGTTGGTACTGCATGGGTGCAAGATTCGTTTAACCAGGCAGAACTTGCGCTACAAGCCATGAAGCTGGCAACGGAATTCCTGGTTGAGGGCGGCACTTTTGTCACGAAGGTTTTCCGATCGAAAGATTATAATCCACTGTTGTGGGTTTTGAATCAACTCTTCACGCATGTCGAAGCAACGAAGCCACCATCCTCTCGTAACGTTTCCGCCGAAATCTTCGTTGTGTGCAGAGGTTACAAGGCCCCGAAGCGCATCGATCCTCGTTTCCTGGATCCCCGATCGGTATTCGCTGAACTAGCTGGTGCCACACCCAACAACGAAGCCAAAGTTTACAACCCTGAAGTGAAGAAGAGAAAGCGAGACGGCTACGACGAGGGCGACTATACCCTGTACAAAGAAGTACCCGCGAGTGAATTCATACATACAATGGACCCGATCGCTATTTTGGGAAGCTGCAACAAACTATCATTCCAACAGCCTCTCAATGGAGACGTCGCCTTGGCTGCTTTGGACAAGCTGCCGGAGACGACGCCTGAAATTCGCGATTGCTGCTCCGACCTCAAGACTCTCGGGCGCAGAGACTTCAAACTTCTCTTGAAATGGAGACTCAGGGTTCGGGACATATTCGGCCTTGCTACAAAGGAAAAGGCTGTAGCTGCAGCATCAGAAGAAGTTGCCGAGGTGGGGGAAATGGACGAAGAACTTCAAATTCAGGAAGAATTGCAAGCTATGCGAGACCGGGATAGCGCTAAGAAGAAGAGGGAAAAGAGAAGGGAAAACGAGAAGAGGCAAAAAGAGATTGTCCGCATGCAAATGAACATGATCAGCCCGATGGACATTGGTATGGAGGAAGCGGGGCCAATCGGAGAAGATGCGATGTTTGCGCTGAAAACCGCGGACAAAACCGAAGCCATGCGTCGACTAAATCGTGGCAAGATGGCAACAATAACGGATGCCAAACCTGTCGATGACCGGGATTCCGCTAGCGATAGCGATGAGAGTGATTATGAAGAAGATCGGCTCGAGCGCGACTTGGATTCCATGTATGAGAACTACAAAGAGCGAAAGGCCGAATCTGATGCGAAATATCGTGCAAAGAAAGCAAGGGAGCAGCGAGGCGATGATGAGTGGGAGGGTCTATCTGCAAACGAAGGCGAGGAGTCCGATTCTAGTGCCTTGGAAGAAGAAGATGATGATTCATCTACCGACGAGGATGAAGGCCCAGCACAAGGCCTGCTAAAAACCTTTGATGAGGAGCAAAGCGACGCAAATGGACTTTCTAGCCGGGCTGCTGCCTTTTTCAGTCAAGACATCTTCAAAGGAATTACCGAAGCACTGCCAAAGGCTGGAAAGATTGAGGAGCCTGTCGTTGACGAAGACGAGGAGATCCGCAATTTGAAGCCTACGACCAACATCGGAAAGGAAAGACAAACTGCTTCTAGTAAAAACGGCCGGTCTGGTACTCGGGCGAATACGATGGAGAATGGTGGCAAACCGGAAGTCATCTCAGGAGCCGACGAAGAAGAGGATTGGGAGAATACGAAAACGAAGCGTCCAGATGGGCAACTAGGTACGCAATCGACACAACTCTATATGATGTTCCTCTGCTAACTCAGTCGCTACTAGACATTGACATTATTACTGCCGAAGCCATGACTCTGGCACACCAGTTGGCCAGTGGAAAGAAGACGAGTCAGGATGTCATTGATGATGGTTTTAATAAGCATGCTTTCCGCGATCGAGATGGGCTACCTGAATGGTTTATCGAAGATGAATCCAAGCATGACAAGCCTCATAAGCCCATTACCAAAGCGGCTGCACAGGCTATCAAGGAGAAACTGCGCGCGTTCAACGCTCGTCCAATCAAGAAAGTGCGGGAAGCGAAAGCCAGAAAGAAGATTAAAGCTGCGCAGAAGCTGGAACGCCTCAAGAAGAAGTCGGATATGCTGGCTGCTGATGAAGGCATGACAGAAAAGGAAAAGGCCGACAGTATCGCAAAATTGCTGGGCAGAGCCGCACGCAAGAAGCCGAGCAGGCCAGCTAAACTCGTCGTGGCGCGTGGTGCGAACAGGGGTATCAAGGGCCGACCCAACGGCGTCAAGGGTCGCTACAGGATCGTCGATGCCAGAATGAAGAAGGAGCTGAGAGCGCAGAAGAGAATTTCACAAAAGAAGAAGAAATAGAAGATAAAATGTATATAATGAGAAGCAGTATATCTCTGCAAGCCATGATTTGTTCATCATCTGAGTCATGTCTGTGGTAGAGTGAGTTTGCGGAGGAATGAGGCTGTCGGAAATAAAAGGCCGCTGAAATCCATGTCGTACCTGGTCGAGTTTTGTTAGTCGCCAAGTCTACAGGCCAACTTTTTTTGTCTAGAGGCATCTCGAACCAATAATTTACTGCTACAACAAAGCCGTTGGGGTCATTTTTTGCAACTGATTGCGTGACCTTGTGATACCTATAATTCGCGTTTAGCTTTGCGGCTAGAAGCAAAGTGCATTGCATTGTCCGGGACTGACCACATTGCAGGGAGATAGAGCATGTCGCCCGGCTCGAGCGTGACACGAACAGGCTGCGCGAAAGGCGATAAAGGTGCACAGTTTCTATGCGGATGGTCCGGGTCCCAGGTGACAACCGGTACAGGGTCTGCATCTTGATCGAGGGACAGCGAGAGCTGACCGTGCGAACAACCTCTGGCGTAGGTTGCTGGCTGAAGAGGCTTTTCATTCATGCAATGGTGGTGAAGTGGCGACAAGAGAACAAAGTGTTTCCGGCCACGGATTTGCACGTAAATGTTTTCATAGCTGTCTTTATGGGTGGCCGTTACCGACCTGGAGTTTCCGATCCACATGTTGATGGCCTCGGGCGGTTTCTGGAGAGCGATGCTCGCAAAAGGAATGTCTTTTTGTGCATCTCGAAACAGACACTGATATTCTTGCCGAAGATTGTCATTCTCTTATTTGAAATGGAATTAGTCTGTAAAAGGCACCGACACTTGAAAAAAAAAAAAAGGACCCTGCGAGACTCACGTGTTTGTGCGTAGCGAACCTCTGCACTTTGAGGAAAGTCGGGGTCTGTCTCCTGGCTAATGATGTAATCGAGAAACTCCTCAAACGGCTGAGACTCTTCGTGAGGCTTTGCAAACAGAGGCGCATCATGAGCGGAGGACAGGGTAGGAGCATCTGCATTTCTACAACAGAACAGGATGATGAGTTAGCAGGCAATGAATGGGCAAGGGTACGTATAATCTTACCCATGCGGCGTCACTGCGACATTGACCGACTGACCGGCCAATGCAGATACAAGATAATCCTTGTCCCATTTAGTAAAGGCCCTCCAAGAGGATGCGCCGCCGCGGACAACAAATGGGGTGTTGCGAGCGACATATCGCATAAAGTCGAGAGGACTCGGTTCACAATCAAGTTCCTCGATGGAAGAGCTATTGAGCTCCCCATATGTTGTAATGAGATGCTCGATGGCGTCTTTTACGCAAGCCTGCTTCGTTTCCTGTGACATGATGTTGAATGAATGCCCTTGGCGATTAAATTTTGCATTCTTTGCTGGCTCGTGCCTTGTAGCTATTCGCAGAGTCGCAGAATCGCAGAATCGCAGGTGGGTTGGTGGGGTATTGAGACTACTCCGTACCTATATATCAACGTATATAATCCGTAATGAGGCCTGATTTACATCAATGAACGTCTGGATCCGCATTTTTACTGCGACACCTTAGTTAAAGTCGATCCAATCTACGGAGGTCGCTTTCAAAAGTTATGTCAGGCGCCAGAACCAAGCCATTACTAGGGTCCCTAGAAGGTACCTTACGATACTCTCTCGCTGTACAAGGGGCGTACTGAAGCCATCACACACTGACCTAGCTACCTGGCTGTAGTAAGATTTTTGTGTTCTGTAATTTTATCTTGATCAAGGATTATGTATCGTATGTATTTACCCTGTAAAGATCCTTGTCAGATCCCTGTTTCTGGAATCATGGCAGACATAACTTTTGAAAGCGACATCCGTATTGAATAGCTATATCAGCGCCCGCCCTGTCAAAGTCAGGCCACCGGATCTGGACCGGCTTTAGCAATGTTGCTCATTCCCCCACTAGATTTGTTTTGCGACTCGACTGCAGCCCGCTTCAACAGTGCCGGCAGACTACGTCAGTCTGCAGACTGCAGACTGCACAATATATAGGCAGCGTAGCCTTTTCTATATTAATTGCGGGAAGGCGAGCAGCGAAACAGGCACGGCTCGTCGGCAACCTCGGCATTTCCACGATTGTTGGGCTGGGATATCAAGCTAGGGAGTGCATGTAAGTTGCCAATTTTTCTATCAATAAACGTCGGTCTAGAATTTCGGTACACTGGAGTTCGGGCAATCTTTGCCGCTTGAGGTCTATTGCATCTTGCGAGTAATAACCGCGAGTTGGATTCCAATAAGTCGTATTATCGCGGCCATGGTCATCGTGACGAAAGAGACTTGTATCATGACAAACTGTATCATGAAGGCCATGGTAGTCCTTGTCGCCCAATGTTCATCACATGCTGCGACTTGTATCCCGCGAGATGTGTCGGCATCTGCCCGTTCGGTATCCAGCTGCGAAACAACTATAAAGGTCGACGTTTTCTCGCTCACTTGACAACACATCACCACACATCGCAACACATCAGACTCGCCTCGACTTACAAATCACTCAACCAAAATGTACTCTTTCAAATACATCGCCATTGTCGCCCTCGCCGCTCTCGGCGTCCAGGCCTGCAGACCTACAGAGTATCAGTGCGGTAACCGCGGTGGTGCACCCGGACCCGACGGCGCCATCTACGTCTGCGATGCTGCCGGCCAGTGGCAGTTTCAAGCCCAGTGCGGTGGCGCTAAATGCTGCAGGATTACTGGTAGCAATGTCAACTGCATCTGCTAGGTGAGTGATGATGATGGACCAAGTGAGCAACGTTGACAGATTAGATTGAGTTGAATAGCGGATGATACTTTTTTTTTTTTTTGAATGGTGTTGTCCTACTGTGGCGCTGTCCGTGACAGACCAAATTGAGTCGAATAGTTGACAATACATTCTTTACATCATTTGCTACTGTGGCGTTGTCCGTTGTTGTCCGTACTGCTATATATGTGAACTGGTATCTGCAATCTGTTTTTGTCCAAGATCTGCCGCCTGTTCTTTGTCCACTGCTTCCTCAGCCTAGGCGTCGTTTCGCCGGCTTTCCTAGCCTTTCACGCACTTGACATTGCTTGCTTGACCGTGTAGATGCGATTGTAGACGAGAGGCAAGCAAACACTATATAGACCACGCTAAGCAAGCCGTCCGAGTTGGACAGGAAAGAGGGAACTTGGTGAACAATCATGACTCACAATCGCAGGAGATTTCGCCAAAGAGCAATCCGATGCAAACGAAGCCGACACCATCTCCCCGAATGTTTGTAAGAATACCACCAGTCAAATCTTGGTCGCTGTAGACGTCAATGCAATCGCCTCTGAGACGAGGCTTTTCACACATTGTCAAGCCAGCATTTCTTCAAGAGGCTCTGGATCTGTATCTTTTGCAGCGCAACTCTCCATAGAGCTCTCTGTGATACAATCGGTCCTCCTCTAACGTCACTGGATACTAGGTACAGCGAGGATTTTGTTTTCGTTCCCTTAAGAGTGGGCAGCGTAGGCGGTTCCTACATTACATTGGCGCGCAGGTACACTCGCCCCCCCCCGCCAAGTCAATAACACCCGCTAATAATACCTCTTGTAGTATTTCCCGACGCTGCCTCCGCCTCTTGACCAATGACACCCTGATGCATATATTGACTTTGTTATTGTAGGCCATCTATTCTGACTTTTCATTTACTTCGTCAAGAGTGATATACTTCCAACTACTGCTTTTTGTGCGCAGTTGAAGACGTGTTCAACGAGGTACCTGTGAAAGGTGTAGGTACCTGCGGATAAACCCTGGGAGTACTACCTAGATAGCAGGGGGGGTCTCGGCACATCCACAAGCAGGTGTGCCCGCCGCCTGAAAATGGAACTCAGGACAGCGAGACACAGACTGGAGTTGTAACTATTCCCTGTTTTGAGACTTTTTTTTCGCATCGTACCGCCATTTTCAGTTCTACAGTCGCCGTCTACCGTCTCAAAAGTCGGTCGAAGAAGATGCCTCATACACAGTGTAGCGAGAGATAAAAAAACGCCTCGTGAACTAGTCCGCATCGGCACATATGCAAGCCGAGCAAACACTGCATCGCGCCGAGGGATGCTCGGTTCGGTTCAGCTGCAAAGCCCCGCCGCCTATCGATGCTACCGGCATAGCTTGATCGATCTTCATTTCGCATCGTGATACAACTCTGGCAATCATGATATGGTACTTGCTTTACCCACTGCGAGGGTAAGAGATCAATAGACTATCGCCACTTGCCGCGTTTCGAGACTAATCAATCGCAGAACTACAGAAGCTCCAGCTCTGTCGCCATCCAATCCTGTGCGTGTCGCATTTACTCGCTATGGTAATTACGTTGCGCAACATGTGATACTGGCTTTGCTCATCTCTGGCATCGTTGCCACCATCTTGATCTACCCCATTCCATATCTCTTCACCGACGACTTCACCAATGGTGCTTCCAATCTTCCCCATCATGTCTGGACTGTTGCGCAGCCCTTGGCAAGAGACGCCGCCGTTCTGCCAGACATCATCATGAGATCTATATGGGTCCATGGCGACTATATGCAGGCGCTGGATAATCATCTACTCAGTGCGGCACTAGAGCTTCAGGATGAGCTTCTTGGGCCAACAGAAAACTTCTTTCCCGCCGCATCACAGGGGTTTCCTCCTCCAAGTGACGACCACTGGCCCATGTCGACAGAGAGCAGAGACGCGGTTCATATTGTCAACGGACTGACAAACCAGTCTTGGTTCTTTCACTCCCCCCTCCTCTACTGGCACTGCTCGCGCCAGCAAATCCTGGCAGACACGGACATCATCACCACTGTCAATGAGAGAAAGACGCAGTCTACGTCGGCAAATGTCACACTGAGACATTCCATCGTTTTTAGCGGCAAGAGATTTTCGGAAAGGAGACTTCTGGCCGCCGATGCGCTTGTCATCACCCTCTTGCATCTCCGCGATTCCCCGGTCGGCCGCCAATGGGAACACAATGCGCCATTGCTCACTCGCAAAGTCCAGGATAAGTGGGATATCTATCCAACAGATGGAATCGTCGAGAGCAGCCAGGTTTATGAATTCCAGTTCCGGCCAATATCCATATACGACATCATCAGCTTGGCATTGGCATACGGTCTGATGTTCATTTATTTCCTTGCAAGTCTCAAAAAGCTTCGGGCTATCAAATCAAAAGCTGGGCTGACAGCGACCGTCATCACGCAAATATTATTATCCATCATGTCAAGCTTCACTGTATGCGCAATCCTTGACATTGATCTATCTCGCATTCCTCGAGCCGCTTATCCCCTGGTCATACTGGCTATAAGCTTAGAGAACATGTTCAGAGTTATCTACGCCGTGATACTCTCACCCGCCGAAAACAGTTCCAGCAGCCGCGTTGGCTCGGCTTTTGGACAGACGGCGCACATAGCGTTGGCGAGCACAATGCAGAATGTAGCCATCTTGGTGGGCCTTTCAATGATTGTCTCCCCCGGTGTCGCTGGCTTTTGCATATTTGCTGCCATTGCCACAGTATTTGACTATTTCTACTTGTCAACCTTTTTCCTCTGTGTGTTGAGTGTTGATGTGCGCAGAATCGAGCTTGAAGATGAGCTATTGAAAGCCAGCACGCGGAGGCACAACCACACCTATGGCCAGTTGAAAGAACGTCCGTCATGGATCTACAATGTTCTGAGAGGAAAAGTCGCACTTTCTACCAGAATAGCGGGCACGGTTGTCATGATTGGTTTCGTCATCATTGCCCAATGGCACTTTTTCGAAGGCGTAGGTGTACTGGAACCTGGCAAGCAGCTCTTTGGCACCTCAACGTTGCAATCACCTGTCGCCAAAGAAGCAGCCTCATCTCTCAAAGAGATACATCAGGCAAGGTCCCCTGGATCGTGGCTGCGTCTTCAAGATCACGAGACAGCTCAAGAGGTCATCAACGCTATCAAGCCGTCAGCTTTTAGTTATACAGCACAAGTGTATGATCCATTGGTTTTTGTGCTCAAGGAATCGAACCGAACGCCGCCACAGCAAAAGAAGAGGCTTCTCCCCGCGGCATATGACTTTATTGATCACCAATTGGCCGAATTTGTCATCTCAATCGCTCTGGTTTGTGCTTGCCTTCGACTACTCGCAAGCTATCTACTTATGGCAGACGAGGAGACAAGAGACAATTTCTCTGATTCCGGTGAGAGCCCGTCTCTGTCTGTCAAAACTCTATCCGGAGGTCACGTTCTCGATGTTGCAATGATGGTGGCATCATCAGATGGACGAATTGTTTCCGCAGGTCTGGACCGAACCATACGAGTATGGGACATTCGTTCCAATGTCACAAGCTATGAGCTGCCTGGCACTAAACTATCAGACGGACGTGGGCTGTTTCCTATACTGGGAATTGCCGTGGATGCAGAGTCTAAATGGCTGGCCATTATGTCAACGAGCCAGATCCGACTTTGGAACCTATCAGAGTACAAATGGAGCGATTCTATCCCCATGGAATCTGGCAGCCATAATCCGGAAGTGTTTTGCTTTCACCCGGGGTCGACTCTGGAAATCCCCAGACTTGTTATTGTAAGGAAAGATGGGACATTGACAGACGTGTCGATGGTGGGCGACAACCGCCGACGCGAGGCAGCTGTCTGCGATGGTCAGCTACTCACGGCTCGCTCTCTCATACACAAAGGTGAGAACTTGAGTGTCGTAAATGGATGTTCACCTCTGCTAATAGTTGTAGGGCCAGAGTCAAATACTGTGCGGGCGATGCAGATCCTATCACTCTCACGAAATGGAGAGGCCTTTATGTCACGGGAAACTGAGACGGGTTGGCGTTGCGAGAGCCTACCATTAAATGTCGTGAGTGATACTACACTTCACCAGATAGTGCCACTCTCTCCGCACCCTTTATTCCTCATTGGCGCCATCAGCTCCGTATACCTGGTCAGCGCGAATGACGGCGTGGTGCAGCATGTCTTTGCGACAGAGCCAGTGGCGTGGCGATCCCTCCAATGCGAATATTCCGACAATCGATATAACAAATCGTCTAGTGGAATTGGATTCAGTTCTCTGACGTTGGGGTACGTGGAAGCAAACACGCAAGAATGTATTGTGACCAGTTACCATCCTGCCCAAGGCAGCGAGGCGATTGCGGCTCTTGCACCGTCGGGCGGTGCTGGTGGAGGATGGTGTACATGGGAAGAGGCAATAGAGACAAAGAAGCGGATAAAGGACCCCGGTACTTGGGAGATTATCAAAGAAAGAAGCGTCATTGGTGTGCGACAAGAAGCGAACCCTTGCCGCAATACCAAGCATGCAGACTACCGCAGGCGATCGGCTACGCGGCGTGGGAGCCCCGGAGCACCTACGAGGTGGCAAGCGTGGACAGCTGCTACGGACGGGTATCTCGAGGCAGATGAGGTCCAGCCGCTTCTCAGTGATGGAGCCGGCTCAGAGGAGCTCGTGGTAGTTCCTACATTGGGGCCAAAGGCCAAAATTGGCGTCCGATCCGTGGCATTTTCCCTCGGCAACACCATCAAAGTAATATCTGCAGGCGGACCGGAGCGGTATAACGCTGATGACGACTCAACTGCAGAATTGCTACTGCCAAAGGACAATAGGCGCGTGCGACACGGTGGCGGTTCCATGCGAGGGAGGGGCTAGTCTGTTACTCAATCAAGGGCGATTACCGAGAAGGCTATAGCATTGTCTTTGAGGATAGCTGCAGCTGTAGCAAGCAAGGTACGACGTGCATGTCTCAGATGATTGAAGCTTAGTTGGGGAGGGCATACATTGGGCGCGTAATTGCCAGACGTGCGGCGCTTGTATGGGATATGGAATTAACAGGCCTTTATGGAGAAGTCTGCGTGAGACGCCGATTGGGCTTCTACTCAGGGACACTACGCGTAAGAAATATGGACGGTTTGTATATAAGTCAATGGACATTCTGATTGATGAGAGGCTACGGATTACTGAGCATACTGCATGTTTGAATACACTGACATATCAATTGCGAAGAATGTTGTAATTTTTACTGATGGTGGCCAGCAATCCACAATTCCGACCTATACCCCGACAATAGTTACCATTCCCATTGTGGTAGGTAACGGCAGTCCGTACGGATACGGAGTAAACGGATTCCCTCACCGCTAGAACAGAGGTGGGAAAGCCGTTCCCGCCCCGCCCCGGGAGGCTCTCGAGGTAGCCTTACCTCGGTAGGTAAGCAAGGTAGGGGTTTCTGGCGCAGACATTGTCCTATTATTACAGTTTCCACAAAGCAGCCTAGTGTGGATGCAGTTTAAAGAGCCTGCAGGGGCAGACTCAATACCTTGCCTTTGCCAACTTAAAAGATGCAACTTTTTCAGGACTCAGTCAGCCGACGATGGCTTTTTAACAAAGGAGGAGGGTGTGGTGGAGTCGTGGGCTGATGCGTAAGAACGCAACCGTGTGGAACGGGCGGAGAAGACAACAATTTATACCCCAAGGCGGTCAGCTTTTATCATTAGAAGCACTTAAGTTGGTTGATTACCTGGCCTAGCGCATTGGTGGCTGCTTTGCCATGGTCTGATCAGTCTAGCGGCCGTCAAGCCACCCACCGCGACGGGATTGGCCGGCCGGCTAACTATCAGTTATTAGGTGTATTCGTAGTTTTTGGTCGAGTTGATGCTGGTGTATTTCGAGAGATGTGGGTGCGCTGGTATAGTTAGGTTGGCAAGGCAGGTAGGTAGAATAACGAGTCAACTAGAACTACCTAGTTAAAGTTTAGGTTATGGGGGACTATTTCTGAACAAGACCTCTTGTCTATATGTATTGATTTCGGTCCAGATGTTCTTTTAAAAAAGCAGAAGGAGAGTTGAAAAAGAGAAAGAAAAGTTCCGTGGACCCAGACGTCCAACCTCCATCCCGTGCGGGTGAAAAAAATAGAGAGAGAGAGAGAGAGAGAGAGAGAGACTCGAAAGGCTGGAGGTACCTAGTACCTGAAGTACCTGACGCGCCCACGCCCCCCAAAAAAAACACGCACACTGGCTTCCTCTCCTTACACAGGCCCTCTGACGATCCGCCTCAATTCCTGCATTGCTCCCAGGGGTTTGTTTGCTGCATTGGCTGCCCACTTGGAGAGGTCCTTGGCCAAGCATCTCCCGGCCCCAACCCCAATCATCAACATCATCTCTGGCCAATCACCCCTTCCCCTCTGCTGCGGGCTATCGCTGCTGCTGCTGCTGCTGTTGCCGCCGCCGCCGCTGCGTTGTCCATTCATCGCCAAACGCCAACATACATTCGACGCCGCCACCCAGCCTCCTCCATTTACTTTGGCTCCCACACGAGGCAGCCCGCCAGTCAATCTTACCTCTAATTATTACCCGCCTCATCGCTGAGCACCACCGCCGATTCGTCTCACAGGGGGGAAAGAGCCGGACTGTACTACATACTATTACATCTGTACCGAGTACTGGCTCACCGTACTCGGACCACCACCCATCGTAGCACAGCCGTATGCGAGCCATGAATTGTCCGCGGTTTATTGTTCGCGTCAGACAGTTTCCATGAGTGTGGTAGAGCTTCAACAGCAAGGTGAGCCTTTTACTTTTTGCTCGCCTTTGCATGCATCGTCGCCCGTGTTGTGCCTGCTCGTGGCATCTATCCATGCAAACTTGTCCCCCCCCCTCCCTCCTCTTCTACCTGACCGACGATTGAGCGCACGCAATTGCTTCTTGCCATCTTGGCAGCAGCCTCGCAGAGCCCCAAATCCCATTGACCAACGCCGCAGACGGAAGCGCTGCCCTCCCACAATTGCTTCTTCCTGCTCGCCACGCCTCAGTGCCCAATCACAACTCGCCAACTGTCGTTGTCTTCCTGCATCACTTTGCCTCTCTAGCGCCGCATTGTCAGGGCTCGGGCCGCACTTATTGGCCTCAAAAAGGCCCAACTGTGGGAACGCCTGCGTTGTCGAGCTTCCTCAAACCGCCCTGCTCCCCTTTTCTGCATGGTCTCATCTTACTGTTTTTGTCTTGTTCATTCTTACAATAAATAACCGTCATACCAGTGCCTTCTGGCCTTGCCAGCACACTTGACCGGCCGCCACCATATCCCCAGCACCGCCAATCTCCGGCGAGTCTGGGTCAACGGCTGCCGGAAGAGCTTGTATCGGGTCTCAAACTCTACTGGATGGCGTCCTCCGAGGTTGACCAGAAGTTCCTTGGCAGGCTCGCCAGAGCCGTCGAACAAGACAATCCCTTGCTATCCTCTATGCTCTTCAAGATTCTCGGTCTCTCACTCAATCTCGCCGAGCAACTCGTCGCTGTCAAGAAGCAGCGCAAGCCCACGCCAGTCACGTCACCGCTCTTTCTCCGCCGTATTCTGCACATTCTCTGGCTCTCGCGCGAGGGCCTTGTCATGTTGCAGCAGTATGTCATTCCCATGGTTGGCAATTACGTCGAGCTCAAGGTCCTAGCATACAAGCTTCGTGCCAGCTTTCACCACATATTCGTCCTGTTCCATAACTCGCCCTCGGTCTCGACCATTGGTAGCTGGACTCCGGAAGCCATATCTGCTGCCTTTGCGCCAATCTACAAGGATGGACACGGCCTACTCGGTGTCGACGGTGATCCCATCTCTCGTTCATCATCCGTCCAGCCCACGCATGCGTTGGAAGGCGGACCTGTCGGGCCACCACCTGGCTTCGAGACGCAGGTTGCGCTTCTACCTCCGTCGTTTCTGCTGCCCGAGAAGGATTATCTGCCCACAGCGCAACAATATTTCCAGGAAGCCATGGACCTAGCCGACCAACTACTTTGGGGTTCACATTCGTTGCGGCTCTCAGTCAAAACCGAGTACGCCGCTTTTTTGTACGAGTGCGTTCACGATCCCGAATCGAGCCGACAACTTGCCAAAAAGACTGTTTCAGAGGTCTACGACGCGACAGAGGGCATGGACGACGACATGTTTCGAGACGCCTGTGAGCTTGTCACTGTGCTTGGCAAGATGATGAGGAGAGGCTTAGGGACCGCCAGTTCCACTGCCAAAGGAAAGCGTGTCCAAGTGACACCTGCCACACCGCCAATTGCAACAACTCTTCCGGGGATGGAAAATGCCATTTGACCTTGGATTATCCAGTGTCACCTGGTCTAAATTTCATTGCTTCCACCACATACCAGCATGACACATATATACTACCCGCTGATGACTTGCTTTCAGTGCATTTCTTTTTTTTTTGCTATTGAGCGTTTGAAGAAGTTTTTTTTTGGACATTAAAAATACAGGAGACGTGGCGTTTGAGGCGTAGGGACGCTGTATATATGCTCAAAAGACAAGGGTTCGAGGTCTTTGGATGGAATCTCGATAGCCAGATGACGCTGCATTTGTGGATGAGGAGGACCACGTATTACAATGTACAACTCTGCAATACATTTTGTATAAATTACTTGTCGGGAACGTTTGTGAGGTCGGAAGGATGAGCATTATGAAGCTAGAAAAGATGAATATTGTAAAGCTAGAGAATATGAACTATTATACAGCTAGAGCAAGATGAGTATTGTAAAATCAGAAAAACAAAGCAAGAGAAAGATGATATTGTAAATCCCAAAGATGCAACCTCGTCATGTCTGTGTACTGTGACAACAACATCAATCCGAAATACTCTCCAGCCAGCCATCAATGTCAGCCTCGGTCCTCCTCACCGTGGCATCCTCGCACTTTCTCCGAATCACCTCCAGCGGCACCATCCGCCCCGTCTCATTGTAAAAGCGCGCCTGCGCCTCCAGCCGGCGCATGCTCCCGTATCGCGCGTCAATCATCTCCAGCACGCGGCAGTCGCTCTGTGAGAAATGCGCGTCGGGCTCGATCCTGATGGACGCTGGGTAGAGGTGGCGGCCAATGTGTCGGTGCCAGTACTGTTTCTGGCGCTCGTGCTCACTCAGGTCGTCTTCGTCGTGCTGACGCGAGGCTTTGTCTGCTTCTTCTACCTGCTGATCCGGCGGCGTGTTGAAATCGGCAGCTGCGGCGGTCTTTCCATCTGCGGCGGTCTTTCCATCTGCCTCGGCGGCCGTCCCATCATCTGCCTCGGTCGGCGACGGTGCTTCGTGCTCTGCGTTGCCGTTGGACCCGTCTTCTGGTAAAGTCCCTTGCTTGGGCTGATTCCTGATGACTTTCCAACGGCTCTTGCATTCGTTTTTGCCGCGATTGAGGCTCTTGCCAATCTCCTCCCAGCTCAGGCCGTCGTTGGCCTCCTTCATGGACCGCAGGAGGCTGTCTTCTGAGAGTGACCACCCTGCTTTGTCTTTTGTGTTGGTAGACTCGGGACTGTTCTTATCGCAGTTTGACGTCTTGTTACTCTGGGACGAATCTTCCGACTGGGCGGCGGCGGTGGACGATTTTGTGGTACTGCTTTCTGTATCTTCCGAGCCTGATGTCGGCTCAGGGACATGGTCTTTTGACTTTGAATGGCATTTGGCGGATTCAGACGCCGAGCTCACGGAGCACGTGGAGGACTTGTCTTCTGAACTGCCTGGGCTGCTGGCGCATTTCAGCCGAGTCTTTTTCAGACAGACTATTCTTGCCAAACATTCCTCGCTTCCCGAGAGGCTGTCTGATGGGTCTTGATCGCTAGAAGAGCCTGCATCGGAAGAATCTGCTAAACAGCTTTGGGAACACTGTTTGCATTCCATCTTGCATTTTGATGTTTCTGAGCAGGCATCAGACCCAGCCTCCTCTGGAGCCTCGTCGTCGTCTGACATCTCTACATCACCGAAAAGAGCCGCTGTGTACCAGAGAGGTTTATTCCTGACGAAAACCGAGCGTATCAGGTCAGAGTGAATGGGCTGTAAATGCTTGAGATGTAGTGAGGTGCAGGACCTCGCGTGAACAGGCGATGCTCAGGCTCCGTTTGCTCAGCCAGCTGGCGCTTCTCTTCGCACAGGACCTCGACTGCAGTGCACCTTTTCCCTACCACAACCCAAGTAGGTAGCCCTCGGTACAATTGCCATCATGAACAACAATTTCAACACTCTCGTTCCATTCGCACAATTGAGCTCTACTGACCAAGATGTGTGGACAATGTACCTAACCTACCACACCCAACGACGGCTGAGTAATCCAGGCCAACGACAAACTAACTGCCGCAACGCCGATTTGCGTGGCTTGATTGACCAACCACAGCTACTGCATTGATAAGATGTCATCGAAGCATCAGCTCTACACTTGATGTCGTGCACGGGTGCTGGCTAGCAAAAAAGTAACATCATGACGTCTGCACTTGCGCAATTGCCTGCCCAGTTTGCGCAGGCCATCAAGCTTATCGATCATGCGCATGCGCAAGATCCACGCGAGGCCAAGAATACGGGCAAAGATAAAGTTCCTCATGAACTGCACTACGCCCGGCAAATGACCTCGTGGCTGGCGATCCGCTGTCCAGAGGCATCTCCGATTTTACAAGTTGCGTGCCGCGCGCAACATTTTCAACGGTACGAACAAGCCCAGATTAAGCCCCTTCCATTTCATGTTCAACGGTTAGGCCAAGGCGCAATGGAAAACCTACAAGGAAACGATGGAAGAATAATGAATTAATAACGCTGGACATGATACTCAACAGATGGGAGATTCCGCGAGACTCGTTCCCGCGGACCCGGCCAGGGTACTTGACTTGGCGTGCAAAGCAAAAAGCGCAGGCTGCTTCGCAAGTCGCAGACTTACTCGGCGCCCCCGAAATCCAGCCTGAGATTGCCGAACAAGACCGCGCTCGGATCGCAGCGCTGATTCGTAAAGAGAAGCTCGACTCGGATCCCGAGGCGCAGGCCCTCGAGGACGTGGCTTGTCTCGTCTTTCTGGACGACCAGTTTGACGACTTTGAGAAGCGCGACGACGTGGACGAGGAGAAGATTGTCAACATATTGAGGAAGACGTGGGGGAAGATGAGCCCGCAAGGTAGGGAAATTGCGCTGGAAATGAAGTTGAGCGACAGGGCCAAGACTTTGATTGGAAAAGCGTTGGCGAGCGCGGATGCTTCTTGATGTGCTGTTGCTTGTATATTTGCAGGCAACGCATCATATTATGGGCATTAACATTGTCATCCTTTTATAACGGTCATCTCATTCTACAGAACTCAAGGAATCTAGCCACTGCAGACATTCAAGCCAATGCTCCAAAGGCAATTGCCACAACCCATATATGATAAGCCGGGCTGAATGCAGGACCAAGAATGAAAGTCGCAAACCTTTTGGACCTTGAGTTTTCGTATAGGAAAAAGGGGAGTCTTGGTCAGGAAGTAGGCCTCGGGGGTGGCCCGTCCTGCTTGGCTCTGATTTCTTCCATGCATGCTTGGCGTGATTAATCGTGATAGCGAGTGACTTTCTTTGACGATTTGCCTTCATCGTTGTCCATGACACGCATCAATCCAAGTTCTAAACGACGTGCTTCTTCTCCGTGGTCAATGTGTAGGGAACATTTAGGGGAAAGTTTCGGCTTACATGGAGCTAACAGAAGCCTTATCAAAGCTAACAACTCTCCAATTTTGTTATCCTTTGGATAGCAATCTAGCTTCACTGGTGTTGCTGACATTGCTATGCCAAGTTTTATGGACGATTGTCTTCATTTGGGGGGCAACCACCAAGCTCGGACACCAATACCAAGCGTCCAAAGGCCGAGCAAAGGTTCGGGTGATGGTTCCTGCGTGAATCTCATTGGAACGGCTATACGTGGCAAGTCTGTGTGATTGTGTCGCATCTTGCATTTTCAGTACCCTAGGTTTTGCATTCTCAGTAACCTACCTACCCTAGCCAAGAGGAAAGCAACATAAGAGGGTTGATGCTGATGGGGGCCGGCCCCGTTGACATGTGCCTGACGCAACTTTTTTGGGTATCCTGAGCGGCCATTGTCTGGCCAGAACTTGCGATGATGGGCTGACTTGTTCGTGGAAAAGAAAAACCGAGCCAGCCATTTTGAGACAGAAAAATAACAAAAAAAAAAAAATAAACAAATCAGTAAATAAAATAAAATGAAAATTATACAAGGTGAGTCTCGACTTCTAGCCCAGAGGTACGCTTCACGCTTACATGTGAAAGCAAGTATATCCAATCCCGGCTTATGATTTACCCTGCATGTCCGGGGGCAAACATGACACGAGCCGCCTCGGCTTTTGAGAAGCTGCAGAGTCGAGACTTTGCTCTAATATCGGGGAGCTGAGGGCTAACACAACGTTGGCAATGCAATGCTACATGAACCAAACGGGATTTCGTTCAGTCCGCTAGTCTCCCCTCTAACATAATAAGACGTGGCATACGTACAACGCGAGGACCGGTCATTTAGCGCCGCCACGTCTCGCATGATGCAAGATTCTGCAGGACGAGTGATTTTGACGCTTGTGGATGCAATGCCGGGGGGGGGGGGGGGGGGTTGGTTTCCCGGTCATCTTCAGCCGAAATTGAGGCAGGGGTTGAAGAGGGGGGAGGGGGAGGGAGGCCTGTTTACTCCGCAACTGGGGGCATAAAATCACGTCCCCGGGGGGTGACCGATTGGACACGTCGGATGTGGCAGCAAGCACTGCAAAAGACATGGGCAAAAGACTTTCAATCGAGGCTGCGTCTCTGCCTGCCTGCCGGGGGCGGAAAGAACCCGAGCACCAGCCGGCAACGCCGATGGTCAGCTTTAATACGACATGATGAGTCCCGTCATGGTCTTTTAACGAAGCCGGGCTCCCTCCCCGGGAATACGGGGTTAATTGAAAGTGGAGGGGGTTGGTCGCAGTACGCAAGTGGTAGGCGCCAAAAGTTGCAACGTCTTCCCCTCTAACCCACCAACCAACTCAGTCCGCTTCTGCTCCTTGCGGTTCCAGTCGCTGCGAGTTTTAAGATTGGAAACTTGGGAAAAGACAACCTCAACTCTCGAAAGAGTTATTTTTTAATGGCATAAATTCCCGACGCCGGCTGCCAAGACCGAGCGGGACTTTATGAATCAGTGATGCCCCAAGGTTGCTTGCCGTCTATTGGAAAAAAAGGGCTTTTGTATGCAGTGGAACCAAAACTCGCAAGGCCTTCGTTCATGCAAGGCGCAAGTAATTTGGTAAAAGTAAGTTAAAAGTGGACTGATGAAGCTGCGATTGTGCCTCAGAGACCGATACGCACAAAGACCAAACGACCAAACGACCAATATCGACCAATAATGTTGGGCTAATCCGTGTTTCACCAACTAGTTGGGAAAGCAGGCGGCTTTGACCGAATCCCTTGTTCTTGTCATTTATTTCTCAAGTCTAGATTGGTCAAAACCAAAGTTGAGCGCCCAAAAAATAATATTTTATTTAATTAATTCCCGATTCTGGCCATTCAACGGCCGGCAATTGATCAGGCGAGTGAGGCACGTGCACATGACCCCTGCCCTGCTGTGTGGTTTCGGACCCCAAGCTTTTCTCAAAAGCCGCATGAAAGCGTTTCAATTTGCCCAGCAAAGATGAGATCTATGCATAATGAAAACTGCTCCGCTACTAATAAATCCACCGTCTTCGAGTACTTTGACAGTGCTCGTTTCTTCGTATGCATCCCGGGCAGAGGGGAAGGGGGGGGGGGGGGAGGAAGAGGGGTTGTTGTTGCTTCTCGGTGCGCCAAGACGAGGCGATGCAGTTGGTTCTGTTTTCGGGACTTGGGATGAACGGAGAAAAAAGAAGAAAGAACCAGAAAACCAAAAAACCAGAATCCAGCCACATGCTGACAGAGTAGTAGGGGTTGACATGAGCCACTGCGCCAGGTGCGGCACGCTTT